TTTTAATTAGTTGTGCGATAATTACACTGAGAGCAAAAATTTCTTTTGAAAAATATGGACACTCTTGAGACAAGAAATTAAGCTGAAGAAATTAAAATTTTTCTTATAATAACTTTTTTCTTAGTAAAAAGTTTTCTAGACTTACAAAAAAACAATTTAGATAGACAACTTGAGAATTTTCATCCAAAATAGTCATTTCCCAAATCTAGAAAACTTTTTTTTAACAAGAAAGTTACTGCGAGAACAATTTTGATTTCTTCAGTCAAAAAATAAAATTGTTGAAAATGTCCAATAAATTAATTTCTTGTCACAAAAATGTTCATTTTTTTCAAAAGAAATTTTTTCTCTCAGTGTAGTTACGGAAATATTAATGTTTGAGTATTTTATCGTGCAACCAACATGTTTTCACAGGAAATCTTGGAAGTTTTTCAACCTTGAGATTTATTTCGTCTTTAATTAATAAATTTAATTTCAAGTAAATTAAGTTATGCATTGAATTGATGTTAGTAATTTTTAATTTTTAACAAATTTATGTAAAACTTAGCTGTGATGTAATTACTTTTAAATCTTTCGATCGACATTTTAAAATTGATAATTAATTTTTATTGAACGTTAAATTCTCCTTTAGTCGTACTATTTTTACGTTAATACTGCACTGTTATAATCTTTATAGGTTGAATATAGTGTATTGCGGCGATTCCTTGGATTACGTGACCGATAAAAGGTCAAAACATTCGATCGTCATAGAAAAAAGTTTATCTACTTTGTCACCTTTGCTTATTTATTCTTTTAAATATAGTTTCAAGTTTGACCGAGATTAGACTTAGCAAGTCACGTATTATTGAAGTTTTTAAGTAAAAAATTTTATAACTGATCTTCAGAATTGATTGATATTAATTATAAAATAAAGAATAACCTAGTATTTTCATAATAACTTGTGAGCCACTTGACCGATTGATCTGAAAATTTAATCAGCTCTAGATCTCGATGAGCTTTTTCGAATGCTGCAAAATTGTATAAATCGGTCAATATGTTCGGGAGGCGATAAAAAATATAGTTGAACCTAGTTATATTAAGCTAATTAGAAAATTATTAAATATACGACTAAGCATATATACGTTTTGACAGGCTAAAAAATTTTTTGAGTCTCGAGAATTTTTTGTTTGCATTTATAAATAATTTAATAAAATAATGTTAAAAATTCTTTAATAGTTTTTACTTATTTATGATTTTACAGTTGTTCAAAAATTTTCCTTTAGAATAGAAGACGAAATATCCCATGAATTTTTGATTAATAAAAAATTGAAAGTAGACTAAGTTGCAAAGTTATTTCGCAGAAAATATATTAAACTAGTTTAAATCTTTTCGTTTTGTTTTTAATATGAGGAATAATAGTTTTTAATTAAATTTTTATGTTCGATTTATTTTTATATATATATATATATATATATATATATATAATTAAAGAGACAAAGGAAAATTTTTTTCTCTGGCGTATTTATATGATAAAATGAGTTTTTTAAATTAAATATAGTATAATAGAAATATCATGACCTGAACTTGTGCCTTTTCATATGTTTTTCAGCAATAGTTAATTTACTGTGATAAGTTTTCGAAGTAGTTATAAATAGATTCAAATTTCACGATAAACGTAATTTGTTTATTTATTTATTTTGTTTTGTGCATGTAAATGTGGTTATATGTCAATAATAAATTTGTTCCGTCACATTTTCCATTAAATTTTTTGTAATTGATCCTGTCATAGCACTATTATCTTTCAAATTTATTTCAAAAGTCCGCAAACTATGTATAGTGTGATTATAAATATAAAAAAATCTGGAAAACGGTTGACTAAAGGCCATCCCTGCAACTTCCCGTTAATTCCATATCTAAGCGCTTAAAATTGCACTTATGACGTTTTTGAGCTCTTCGAGCTCAAAAATCTAATTCGTATGTTATTTCGAGCTCTCCAAACTCATAGAGAGCTGTTCTAAGCTTTTGAGCTCTTCGAACTGATCGACGTGGTTTTTTAGGCTCTAATAATTATTGCATTACATCAAAAACGATCCAAGGAAAAATTTCAAAGTTATGTGAAAAAAACACTATTTTCCAAATTTTTCGTTTTCGATAACTCTCGAACGAATCAACCGATTTCGACGGGACTGGTGGCAATCGACGTGGTTTTTTAAACTGAAGAGCTGATTAGTTTTTGGAGTTGATCGGTCAAGCCGTTTAGAAGTAATTCCAAAAAAACGATTTTTCCAAAATTTTATTTTTGAGATTTCTCAAAATCTAGGCAACCGAATCAATTCAAATTTTCACGAAATTTAATGGCAATGATACTCTTTGGATCGCCACCGATTTCGATCCGATCGGCCAAGCCGTTCAAAAGTTATAAGAGGTTTACATACATACACACACACACACATACATTCATACAGCCGCACGGACACCATCGCGGGAATAGTCAGGGAAGCTTCCTGTAACCTTGAAACGTCGAGATCTGATGAAAACTCAATTTTCGCAAAACGGGGTAAAACCAATAATTTCGCGATTTTTGAAAATTTTCAATTTTTTCAGCGGGAAGTTAAAAATTAGGAAAACGGTTGACCCTGAAGACCATCCCTGCAACTTCCCGCTAATTTTATACCCAGGCGCTTAAAATTGCACTTATGATGGTTTTGAGCTCTTTGAGATATTTTGAAAAAATGAAAAAAAAAAAAAACAACTTTTTTTTCACATTTTTTGCAATTTCTCGAAATCTCTCAGTCCGAATTGATTCCAACTTACAGAAAATCTAAGTTTGGCGAATCTCTTTCGAATGACACCAACTGCGATCGAATCGGTCAAGCTGTTCAGAAGTTATAAGAGGTTTACACACACACACAGACACACAGCCGCACGGACATCATCGTAAAAATAGTCAAGAAAGCTTTTTGGTGCTTCAAAACGTCGAGATCTGTTGAAACCTCGATTTTTGCAAAACGGGGTAAAACCAATAACCTCGATTTTTCGAAAATCATTCTTCAATTTTCTTAGCGGGAAGTTAAAAATCATTAAGTAAAAGTTTTCTTATTCATCATTCATAAATCTCGGCAGTCGCATAATGACTGTAGGTTGCTTAAAAAAACCCAACGCAGTTAATCAGTGAATTTTTATACTCTTGATTTAAATTATTAATTAGCAAAGAGATTCCTACTAATAGAAACTTATCTGCAATGGAAGCGGCCAAAAACCGCAATCCTGTTGCTATCTCAAAATAGCTGAATATATTATTCATCTAACTATAGTTATCACAAACGACAGAAAATTATTGCACGCCTCATATAAGCAAAGCGTTGCTTTACTCTCGACTCGTCAAAAAAATTAAGCAGTTTTCTCGAAACTAAAATTGATTTCTTTTTACTTATATCGCACTTATAGGATAATATGAGTGCACTTATATCAAGTCAAATAATCTGTCAGGCACATAAAATATATTTCAATAACAATTATTTTTTTTAACATAGTAAATAATAACATTACAAATAATCTTTCCTGGATGTCCGTGTGTCTGTGGTTATATATGGATCCGTGTATGTAGCAGGGAAATTGGTCGAAAAAATTATTGTACCGGCATAATTTCTTTTTTTATCCATATAAAGTGACACACAGCGGATTTTCTCAATTAATATGAGCGTTTGATTCACTGTCGTTTAATTATTATTTATAAAAAATTAAGTTACGACTGTGTATTTGTATATCTATATATACATTTTATTATAGTATTTTTTTTGCTCACCTTAGAATGATGGTGCCACTAAACCATAGCAGAGTTTTCTGTTTTTTATTTTTTGTGTTTAGTATTTTATTTTAATCAGTTTTATGGTGGAAAATGAGATTATAAGGCATGCACTTTTATATTTACCAAACTTTTTTTTCGTCTCTTCGATCAACTGTTCAGAATTTTTCAATTTAAAATATAGGAATAAATGAATAATAATTCGCATTTTCTTTCATAAATATTTTTAGCTCTGATTAAACTATTTTCAAATTTGTATTCCAATAATTTCATCTTCATGAGCTTTTAATAAATTTATTTGAATTGACTTATGTCTCAAAATAAATTATTTGACGTCAGATTTATTATTGACTTAGTCAGTTTTAAAACTCGTTTTCAAGACAGTAAATTCAATACTCCTACAAACACGTGTTTTGGTATAAAGTTTTGTTGTGCGGTAACAGTCGTGGCACGTGGAACGGTCTTACTACTTTTTCATCAAACGATTCGAACAGAACTTCCGGTACGCAACTTAGTATTTGGGCGTAAAGCGGGATGCAATGAATAAAATTAATCAATCAACAAAACGTGAAGTTATTTCTAGAAAATCAATTTTCACATATTTTCCAACCACATAAGTTTCCAAGATACCCTACAAAACCTAAATTTTTTTAGAAATAGTTTAGAAACAATTTTTAAAAAAACTTTTTTATTTTGGAATCAATTAACTTTTTTTTTTTAAATTAATTTGGGTATTTTTAATTTTATTAATTTGAGCAGTATATTATATAAAAAAAATTTTGGGGATATAAATTTGTTCAAATTATACAAAAAAGTAACACTACACCTAGGCTAAAACTTCCCTGGTTAAGAATACTGATTGAAAAGAATTGAGAAGCAGTCACTCTATGCAAACTATATATCTGTATATACAAACAGAAAAAAATTCGAATTTCTTATTTTTTAATTATTTTCAATCAGTATTTTTAAATACTGAAATTCAAAAACCACCTGATAGTTTTGAATAAAATTTTCAAAACTCTCATTGAAATTATAAAAAGCTACTCCTTGATCGAAGGATTTATTTTTTTTAACAATAAATTATTGCTTTCTTTTCACAAAATTCATTAGTAAAATGTTAGATGCATTTTCTTAATTCTAAAATTAAAAAAAAGCTTCAATTGAAAACTATAGTATATTAAACTGATGATTTTTTTTTTTTTTATTGATTTTGAACTTGCTAATTATCGATGAACAAATAACACTGCTCAAATGATGATCTAGTTGGGCCTGTATATGTGATAGGATAATTATAAATTAAAGTTGAACTTTCTTCTTCCTTTGATACAAAAGTATGAAAATTCTTGCGAGCTGTAAATTAAAAACAAAAAAATTTGATAATTAAAAAATAAGGAGAGATCAATTATCTACTTTTATACCTTCGTCGACGAAGAAATTTGCAAAGTATTGGCCAACTCTGATGGCATTTTTACTGTGAGGTATTCCCCTTAATCGAGTTGCCCACTCAAAACTATTTTTCTCTGGATGAAACTGCGTAGCGTAGAATGGCATATTGAAATGCTCCATTGTTGAAATATACCTTAACCCATTATCGTCATAGTTCACGCTCAATACATGGTAAGTGTTTGACAGGTTGACCTCTTTAAGTTTCTAGTATAAAACATAAACAATCTCAATTCTGACTTAATTAATTTTCATTTTAATTATGCCAAGTACGATAATTGATTTATTTGTGTATGTATTTAATTGAACTCACTTTCATTGTCACACAAAGTTTATGAAAATTTGCCGTTACTGATTGGTTTTTTAAAATATCAATAATATTTTTAGGTGCATGCTTGAATAATTTACTTTTATCAAAATCTAGAAATAAAGAACTTATAGAAGTTTATTATTTAGAAAAATATATGTGATAAATGATAAATTGATAAATGATAATTCAATGACATTACTGTTTGTGAAGTTTAAGGGTAAAGCCACATTATTTCCTCCTGTACATTCAACACGAATATCAACGTCACCTGCGGCGACACACGTCATTGCTTCAAAGCCTAAACAAGTTCCCCAGAGTGGAATATAATCACCTTGTTCATTCATACGTGTTGCAATCCTGCATAGTTTATAGATAATTATATCATATCTAATTAGTTTTTATCAGATCTAATCAACATTTTCCAAATTCCAAATATTTATTACCTATAAATTTTCCCTACAGTGTCGAAAAAGCCATTTCTCGTAGTAAAATTAGTCGAACCTCCAGGAAAAAGAACTCTAAAAAATTTTTATAAATTATAACAAATTGTATTGACGCATAATATTATTAATTAGAATGATTGGTAAAATTATTATATTACCCATTTACTTTGCTCATAATATCTTCATAGTATGACTCATGTCTTCCAAGTCTGAAAAAAATGAAATGATAAAATTATTTAAAAAACAAACTAATTACCAGCTAAAAGAAACATCTTTTTGTTAGGAATTTACTTTGTACTTCGCGTTACTTGAACCGTAAGAAATCATAATTTAAAATATTTCTTTTCGGCTTATTTAGAAACACAATATTTAGAAAATTATTATTTTGAACTATTGAGAATATAGATAGTATTAAAAAAAGTTCTATAATTTTATAGGAAGTTAGAACATAATACAATAAGTTGAATGTAATATTAACCAAACGTTTCATCATTTTTGTAATTGCTTAGAGTCGCGGCTCCACTTATTGACCATTAAAAACCCATCATTAAATTTGTTTTAAACTATAACAATTTGGAAAAAATTTTTTTTAAATTGACAAATTGATATTTTTAAAATTTTTTAAAATTGTAACAAATAATTCATAAATGACGAAAGAATCAATTTTCTTAATCAAACTCATTTCATTATTTCTGAACTTGTTACCATTTAATTGATTCGTAATGATAATAATGTACGACATAGATATACCAAAAAAAAAGTTATTGATTATTTATCTACTAAAAAAATAGTAATGGTCATCAATATGTTTCTCACACCAGTAATATCATTTTCAATTATTAATATCATTTTTAAGTAATTAAAAACGTAATTAATCTAGAATTGTTTTATTACCATTAACTAACATTAACTAAAATAATAGTCATAAATTAAAATATTAATAATAAACAGTCATCCCCGCTTTACACATTAACAACTATTAGCAAGTCACTTCATGAAGACAAGTACTTATGATTTTTTTTCTGTTTAGTATTCACAAATTATATTTTATATTATATGGAAATGTAATAATTTATAAGAATTAGACGGCGAAAAGAAAAAAGGAAAAATTACATTAAAAATAGAAATGTGTCGCTTAAAATTTAAAACTAGAAAAATTGCAGTTCGAAATAACATTTTTTAAATTCAAACTTTGAATGGTAATTTTCACAGCTTCAAATTTAATATTTACATTTTGCAGTGTAATTCTTACAAAATCTTTAAAAATTACAATCTGAAACTATAATTTTTCTAGTTTTTTATGTGAAGAAATATTCCCTTTTTTTTTCCGTGAGAGTATTATATAATTAGTTATTACCTAATATTTATAAATCACCATCTTGTTAAATTTCTGTATTATAACAAGTGACCCTGTTACTGGCTTTAACAGCTGTTGGATTTATTGAAATGAAATAAATAATTAAATTTACCTTATCGGCACAACACGAGCTCCAGCACTCTCAATATACTTAACATAGGATGCTGCGATGTAACTGCTGTACGCATTGTTATAAACATTTCGTAAATGATAACTTGCTTCTTGTGCCACTATACCTATAATTATTAATTTTTATTATTAATCATTACAGACTCTAACGAAAAAAAATTACTACTAATTAATTTAATTTACCTATTATTGGACGGTCGTTGTAACCAAGAGGTGATCGGGCTGTAATGAGATAGTGAGATTGAATGAGTTGGGTGAAATAAATAACCATGATTTGGATCACTGATATTCTTAACAGCAACATTATTTACGAGTAAAATATTGTAATTCAAATCAATAATTGTGGAGTAAATAAAAATTGTATTTTCACAAGGTTAAAGTCAAAAGCGGATGTTTCTACTTAAAGATTTATAAAGTACTTAGTCCCCCTCTATTACAATCAATCTTAAAGAAGTACAATCATCATTTCAGAAGTCACTAGATAATGATAAGGCCATAAAAAGTTTTTCACTCGTAACAGAATACTGCGACATGAAATAGGCGATGTTATAGATGAAATAATTTACTGCAACTTAACTAAATTATCGATATATGTCATTTATGAAAAAAAAAATTCAATTTCTTGAAACAAACTATTTGGAATCATGTAGGTATCTCATATAGTTGGGAAGTAATAAGGTTTAATTATAATTAAACCCAAAAAAAGTGTCTACTATAAATATTACAACCTTTGATAAAAATTAAAGACAATAGGCACTTTTATCAATCAACAGAAATATATTTAAAATTAAAACGCTCTTTATCGAACATTTTTTGGAGTTGAAGATTCGATCAAAATTTATGCATAAAATGTATACATTAGAATTTTTAAATTCGAACACGAAAAAAAAAAAAATTTATATTGATCAATCATTGATTGCTAGAAGGGAATTATTGTAAATAATAATTTTGAATAAAAATAATTAATACATAGTGTTTATTATTTAATTACTCAAATTTAAAGTTCTTAAAGAAAAGAAAAAATTCATAACAAATTTAGAAAATTACTAATTAACTTAGTATAATAAGTAATGACAATTGCGTGAACATATTTTTGAAAATTTTTTTTTTACACTTTATTCCCTGAACTATTTTTCAATATCGTTATGACCTGTATAATTTAGTTTGTGATTTCAACGTGTAGATAAAAGTTTTATGACCACGATTAAAATACACTTACTAAAAAGCAATAGGTGTTATTTAATATTTACAATTCAAAGTTATAATTAGAATTTTACAGATTAGTGAAAATTATTCGAATATTTCAACTGTGAATTTGAGATAAATTAGTGTTTTTTAATAAAATAAAAGTACTTTTGTACTTTTTACAATAAAAAGTATTGATTATCTTTTTAAATTAATAATTTAAAAAAAATACTGTGAAAAATAATTTGCATTTGTGATAATAAAAAATTATTGAATCCGGTAAGCATTCCGAAATTTAAATAAATATATTTATAAATAAGTTATTTTTTCGCAATAAAAAAAAAGTATAATAATTTATTTTTAATATACTCTATTATTGATTCATTTTATATTTTAAAAAGAAAATAAATTATTCTCATGCTAATTTTTTAAAAAATTGTAGAAAACGACTTTTTTTCAATATCATAATTTAAAAAATAGAGCAAACTTACAATGGCTTTAAAAAATATGTGTAAAATAATATCTAAAAAATAAAATTTCAATAATTTCATGAAAAAACAATTTAAATAAATTTTGTGTTTAATACCTTGTTTTTTATAGTGAATATAATTAATCAATTAAATAAATAATTAACAAAAATTTTCTATTTCCAGTGTGTCATTTAATATTACCAGTTGTTGAAGATAAATTTTCTTCTGATTTATCTTGATTTGTAAATGACATGTTGAAAATAAACCTGAACGTTAAGTGTATAAATTCAAATCGTTAGACGTCATAACATAAAACAATTGTTAATTTAAAAAATATTTCATCAAGTGGAAGGGATAGCTCAATCGATATAATAGATCGACTTCAGAGTTGATCATCGCGACCGCCATCTTGGCTTTTTCAACGCGCGCATACAGTGCATGCCGGTAGCTCGGCAACACTATAGATATACACTCGATAGTACCGGCGCAAGTGATTTAATTATTCTTGCAAAAGAGCTCTACTCACATCAACGTTTTTGTAATAAATCATATTCCTTCTCAACTCCTCAGTGAAGCGCAAAACGCCGAGAGGTTGCAATTTTAATTGTGAAGACAACTGGATTTAGAAAAAAATAAAATGGTACGTATTTAATATTTAGTAATTATTTAAAACTTGATATTTTTTATTTTTTAGAAAATGTGACTAAAGTGAGGTTAGAGTTGTAGCACGTGGCGCGAACTCACATGCTAAAAATAAATAATAATCGTTATTGTTACAAATATACAATTAATATTAATTAGTTTTGCCAATTGTTTTAATTATTAATAATTTTTTTTTTTTTTTTTAATTAGACAAACGAAGTTAACCCAAAAGCATACCCATTGGCTGATGCCACATTGACTGCAAAAATTTTGAATCTGGTTCAACAAGCAATGAATTACAAACAGTTGAGAAAAGGAGCTAACGAGGCAACAAAAACTCTTAATCGAGGATTGTCTGAATTTATCGTGATGGCAGCAGATGCTGAACCACTAGAAATTTTACTCCATTTACCGCTGCTTTGTGAAGACAAAAATGTCCCTTATGTTTTTGTAAGGAGTAAGGAATCATTGGGCCGAGCTTGTGGTGTATCTCGTCCTGTTGTTGCGTGTTCAGTAACTGTTAATGAAGGATCTCAACTTAAACCACAAATCCAAGCAATTCAGCAAGAAATTGAACGTCTTTTGGTTTAAATTATGGTACCTGATATTATTTATCTATTTTTTCATTCACATAAAATGCGAAAATGCTTTCTTTTTTGTAAAATTATCCATTAATAAAATTTATAACAAAAGTAAAAATAAAAAACTGATTAAAGTTATTTAAGGTAAAAAAACAAAAAAAAAAATTAAACGTGTGTCATTAATCATTATCTATTAATTATGTAGTATAAATAAATATTGTGTTAGCAAACAGAACATAAATAATCAAGAAAAAAAAATTGCAACACAAAATTAAGGTTCTGTAAAAGCGCTATCTTTTTTAATTTATAAATATTACTACTCAATATATATTTTAATTTTTACACAAATTAAATTATTTTATCCTAAGCTTTTTTATAACTCGCTAAATATAAAATTTTTTCCACATTATATTATACTAAAACAATTTTTACCCAGACTTGCAAATGATTGAATTTAATTTTATAATGATTATACTTTTTGATGAAATGTAGAAAATTACAATGTGAAAATTTGTAATTACATACAAGTTATTTAGCTTATCTTGATTTGCAAATAATAATGTGAAAGTTGATGAACATTATTTAACTTTAATATATTTTGAACAAAATGCACGAATAACTGGATATTAACAGAAAGCTTGCTGTTAAATATTTTACTCTACTCACTCTGAATTAAAATTTATATTAAAATTGTATTTTTTAACATTTAAAATTTGGCGAGTAGTTTTCTTTCCATATAGATAAGAAACTAAATAAGTTTTTAACAAAACTATTCTATAGTATGAATTTATAATAATGAGAAATTTTTTACAATAAGATATTAAAGAGTAGTATTATTCATAATTATATAAAAAAAAAAAAAAAAACAAAAAACGAGATTTTTATAGTACCGGTCCTGCAAAATTTAGCAGTATTAAATCAACACTGAATCAATCAATCAAAGCAAGGTAACGCTACATTTCTCCAATTACCAGCCCATCGAAGATTTTGAAAATTTTCCAATTTCTGACGAAACTTTTTATATTTTTCTATTTGCTGTTGATTATTTGGAAAATTGAAGAACCATGTTTTTAATTGACTTGACAATTCTTGATCATTTGAAAATACTAAACTGTTCTCTTCATGTCTTACCAGCTCATCAAGACTGTAACGAATCAAAATCAATATTTACGATTAATTAAATTAATCAAAATGATTATTATTACATTTAAGCTTACCAATTAAAATTTAACGCGCAAACGGGTAACCCACATCCAAACATATCGACAACTTTCATTGGTAAATCTAATCCACTTGATGATGTATGCAGACATATTCCTAAATCTGCACTTGCTAAAAAATTGTTTTAATATTTAAATTATTAATTTTATGAATATCAAATAATAATAATAATTCATGAATAAAATGACAATAATTATAAAAAAATTGTTTTCAACCACAAAACCCGATGGTAGTACTCGAAATATAACTTTAAAATTTATTTCTGAAAACATACCTAATAACTTAGGATAATCTTCGTTTGATAACCAAGGTGTGATAATTTTAACATGTTTCCATTGTTTAAACTTTATGATAGCTGTCCAGAAATCCTTCAAAGGACCTTTACCAGTAATTGCACAAATTAAGTTTGGTAGCATAGAATTTTCATTGCAGCAGGCCAATTCATACTCTAATAATAAATGTAAGTAAAAAATATGAAAAAAAAAAAAAGAAATATCTGTAAGATTATAATTCAATAAAATTGAAATAAAAAATGAAATACCTTTTAAAGCAGTAAATAACACAGAAAAATCTTCATCTTCAGTCCAACTTGTACTAGATACAATTAATGCTGGTCGCTGTTTTCTGAGTTGAATTTCTCCATTAGCTAAACATTCTGTTAATGCAGACGAGTCTTCTTCACCATTACTAAACTCTTCATAAGTTTTACTTAATCTAATTAACAAGGAATGTTTTTCAGATAAATCGATTGGCTTAAATGCCAACGGTGGCCTGTCATACAATACTGTAGCTCTGAAACAATTTTAGTCAAATGATTCAAGTTTAGTTCATAAAGTTTGAACATAAAGTAAAGGCATTGATATTACATCGTATATTTACATAAAAAATAACAGTAACTAATAATGCCTTTGCTTTAAAGGAAAAAAAAAATCATAAAATAATACTCTATACTCCATCTGGAATTTAAATCATTTTTCATAGCATTGGTAACGCAAAAATTTTTGTCAGCTCGTTTACCAAAAAACGATTCAATAAACATTGTTATTTTTACAAGTAGATGTTCTCTTCCAATTGTTAAAGCCATTATCGAGTAAGCATAATTATGCCAATCTATTATAAACTGTATTTGAAAAATACGGCAATAACACCAGCAGATTGGTATTGTTGGAATAGCAGGAGGATTTTGTACCATTAAATAACTTGATTGAATTTTGGTGAATAATATCCTCGTCAAATGGACTGATTGCCATAATGTTTTTATAATATATGATAGTAATCTCGGAATTTCTGAAATAAAAATTCATATCAATATTATTTAGATACAATGAAACAATTGATTATTTCAACATTGAAAAAACAAGTATCAAAGATTTTCAAAATTAAAATAAACAAATTATATAAGAAAGACATAACAATTTTTAAAATATGTTTGGAAGTGTTTTGATAAATCTTATTGCATATTCAATTTTTCATTAATTTATTCCAAATTTTTAAATCCTTCGATACTTGTTATTTTAATTATCATTAATTATTACTAGGAAAGTAAATTTATGAAAAATCAACGTACGATTATTCCATTCTGGTACATCTGTTAAATAATGAATATTAACATTAGGACTATTTTTTAATTCTTCTAATGGTTCAGAACCAGAATATCCTACAATATCAACGAAATACCCTTCATTCATAAATGATAAGGCATGGTATTGCATTCGTGGACTACGTCCAATATCACCCAATACAACAATACACACTCGTTTTTTATCACAAGTCTTTATTCGACTCCATATTGTCCATAATAACCAAGAAATAAATATTATCAATGAGCTACTAATTATTAACAAAATCATATTTTATATAATTTACCGGTGAATATTTTTTTATATTAATATACATAAGTCAATCACTAAAATAATACTTGTTTACAATATTCGGCTAAGATTTCCAATGTACGATTTGTCATATCTAACATAGAAAAAATGTATATGTGTACCTTTGTGTACGTGTTAAAAATAAATTTACGCGGGAAAATGAATAATTCAAATAAATCTGTCATATTATATTTTTTCAAATGAATCGAATCAATTACCATTTTGGAAATAAATATTTGAGTAAATTGTTTTATATTTTCAGGGAATTATTTAAAAAAACAATTTATTTTAATTATTTATTGTTAATTGAAAAAATAAACTAAACATATGTTGATTGAAATGGCGGCACTTAAATCGTTCTACTCGGTTTACTTCGGCTATAATCGAAAATGATCGGGTGTGTGTATGTGTTCTCTTCCGTCATTTAATTTCGCGCCAAAATCATATCCGTTAGGTTAGGTTCAGTCAGGTTATATTATTACGTGACCATTAGTTTACACTTTACTTAATGTGTTTTTATAAACTTTTACATCTATTAAACATCACAAATTAAATAAAAGTTATGTGAATAGATACTTTTAGAGTTGTGTAATAAATTAAAAAATAAAATGATGAAAAATTTAACTCATTATTTTACAGATAATGTAAAATCTATCGACGACTCAGTTATTGCAAAATCTGATGAGGTTATTAGTGTTGAAAAAATAGCAAACGGTAATGAGCACATTGTTAAAATGAACATCAATGGAAAAAAACGTGAACGAGTTAAAATAAAAATATCGCAATCTAACAATCGAGGTAAAATTTGTAATATTGTTAACAATAAAAACGATCTTATTGATAAAACTCCGAGCCCGCACACAAAATTGTTTGATAAAAAAATAATTTCGTGTGATGATACTCCCAAGCGTTCAAACTCTAGCTATAATGTTAATAATAATTGTGAGATTAATGATCAAAAAGTTGATTTAGATACTACAGATGAGTGCATATTTGATGTCGATGTTAAAAAAAAGTTCAACAATAAAAAAAATAAAATAGAGAGCCTTCAGGATAATTCAACAACAGCTGAACAAGTTAATGGAAGGGAAGAACCAAATGCATTTCATGTTTTAATGACTCGCAATAAACCTGGGAAAATTATATGTACAAAAAAGTCAACGGACGAAGGAGAAGAGGACCAACTTGAAATTAAAAATAGTCAAGATTTGAAAAGTAAATTGAAGCAAAATAAAGAGAAACTAATAACTCTAGCAGATAAAAAAGGATATACCAAAAGAAAATTACGTGAAAAAGAAGAGGAGGAAATAATTGAAAAACAAGTAGAAAATCGTATTAAAATGTTCAAGGGAAATAGTAGCAACAATATTGATGGTAGTAATATCATTACTCCAAAACCAACTCCTCGTGGTTTGTATAATTATTTTAGTACTATAACACCTGAAGAACGAGAACGAGCCAAGTCTAAAATGGTTGTTGAAGCTGAAATACACGATGGTCAAATATCATCTTCAAGTAAGCAATCTTCAAAATCTACATCTAATATTAATAATAAAAAAAATAAGTCAAGAGTTAGAAAAATTTTAGCAACAATTGATGATATTCAAGTTCTTAATTCAGAGTCTTCTTCGCCAAGTGTTAGTCCTACGACTGAAGAATCAAAATCATCAAACGAATCATCTCCATCACATAAAAAGAAACGTAAATGGTCAATGCGAATTAATCTTCAATCACCGGAAATCCAAGATGAAACAGGTAAATTATCTAATTTATAATTATCATTATTTCATAATTAATATATATGTTGAATTTTGTGATGATTTTTAAAAGCGAGAGTCTCCTAAATTTTTTATAAAATTTAGTCGATGGCGATGAATAATCACACTTTGATCTCTGAATTTTCCAACATTTTCATACTCATAACTATTTTCTTTTATTTATAATTATAATTCTGAAATGATTTTTTTTTTTTTCGTCTTAGGCAGAGATTCTGGAAGTGAAATTAAAAACCAATCCCAAGATAATCATATCAAGCAAAAAAAAAATAAACATAAAGATAAAAAAAAAAATAAATCAAATAAAGGAGAATCAACAGAAGACTCTCATGAAGAAGATGAAATTAACAACGTTGAAGATAAGAATGCCTGCATAAATAATCAAATTTTAATAGACAATGATACATTACCAGATGAAAAATTGGGTCTTGATTATTCTGAGATAGAAGTCATTGAAACAAAAATATTAAAAAGACCCTCTAATGAAAAACTTGCTCCATTATTTGTCAAACGATCAAAGCTTGACCCTGATGTTATTGCAGCTCGTCGTTCATTTTTACATTCAAGATCACCAGAAAATGAAAAAAAAAAATCTGAACGAAAAGTCATTGTATCTGGAATACCAATGCTACCATTTCCATCCGCCTCTCATATAACTCAACTTAATGTCGAAGATAGAATACATGAGGTGCCTTGTTCTTTGAAATATAAAATCAAAGAAGCTACAAATTATACTCCAACATTTGATCTCAGTAATTTCTTATCGATCATCAATTTAAGTGACTCAGTTCAAGATCAAAAATTAATTAAAGATGAAACAAAGTCAGATGCTGAAGAAATTTTGAAAGAAATTGAAGAAAGATGCTCTGACGCCCGGGAAATGTGGACTAAAATTAACTTAGTATCAAACAAACAAAAAAATGAAGCAATTCCAAAAAAGCGAGGACGTAAATCTAAATCTGCGGATAAAGAATCACCTGCAAAAAAAATAGAAGATAATGTTAAAGTCTATACATGGACCGAAAAATACAAGCCTATATGTGCTAAAGAAATTGTTGGCAATGAAGAAGCTGCTGGTAAATTACGAGATTGGTTAAGTTCATGGCAATCACCAACTGAAAAAGATGATTATAGCAGCAGTGAAGAATTTTATTCATCAGATAATAGTCATTCTGGTGGTTTAAATTGTAGTCAAGTTGCTGTTCTTTTAGGCCCTCATGGCAGTGGTAAAACTGCCAGTGTTTACGCAATCGCCAAGGAACTGGGTTACAATGTTTTAGAAGTTAATGCTTCCAGTAAACGTCCAGGACGAAAAATTTTAAAAGATTTAGAAGAAGCAACTAAATCACACCATGTTAAAAAGTCTGATGGAAAAATATTATTCCAAGCTTCTGCAAATAATGACAAGAAAACTATGCAAAATTCTCTTATTTTATTTGAAGATGTTGATATTATATTTGATGAAGATGATGGTTTTATATCAGCTACTTATCAACTTGCCGCCAATACTAAAAGACCAATTGTTATGACGTGTAGAGATTCATGTTCGCATTTAAGTCGAATGGCTCCGCAGCAGTTACGAATTTGTTATCAAACAACTTATGGTTCACGAGTTTCAGCATTATTAGAATTAATAACGTTAGCTGAGTCTGGAACTCGTTTGCCTCAATCCTGTTTAAATGTAAGTATAATTTATCTAATCTAACAATATTATTTATAATTACACCAGCAATACTTATTTTTATTTTTTTTTTTTTTTTTTCAGAAACTCATCGCGATTGGTGATTTGCGGAAAGCATTACTACAGTTGCAATATATATTAATATCAGGAATACCACAATCATCGCTGCTACCAAGTGATTTCCATAAAACTTTATGGCAAGATATGCGTAATTATTTGTATAAGCCAGTTGCTAAATTGGATAAAAAACAAACAAAGAAAAAAAATTTAGAAAATGTCAATGGATCAAATTTAGACATTATGGATAATTTAGCTGATGACTTAGATGCAGTATCTTTAGTATCATCTCTAGTTGATATTGATGATCACATTTTAAATATAACTGAGTTTAAATATGAACCTAGTTTATCTCTTGAAGAAACAATGGATTCGTATTCAAGCAATGATGTTCGTAGTATGGAAATCGGCAAATGGTTAAGACATCGAGTTATGAATAAGTACACTACAGATACGAGTGAAATTGATACTAAACTAGTACGGCAGCTATCATTAAAAAAAGAATTAAATACAGGAATTAATACGGCACTATCTCAAATTTCAATTAATAACTCGGATTCGCGGAGTGTTTCAATTGATTATTTACCAGCTATCCGTACTATATGTCGATCAGAAGAGATCAAATCATCAAATAACACAAAAAGAAGATTTTTTCATTATTTACAAAACTTTCGATTACCATATGGTCAAATTAAACCTAATATTTTACAAGCGGCGTGTAAAGCAATGCAAGAAAAAAATGAAAAGTCACTACAAAGATAGTGTATTATTTTACTTGATTTTTTGTATTAATTCTTTTTTAATGTTTAATAAAAGTGTATATTCTTACTTATTTTGATTGTATTATTTTAATATGTTTAATAAAATTGAACAAACATGTATTTAAATAAATTCGATTTACTATTTTTATTTAAATTGAGTTTTTATTTTTTCCAATTACTTGTATAATTACAGAAATATTATTGTAAGTATAGAAAAATTTAAAAAAGAAAATTAATTGTTAAAAACAATCATATATTAAAGTCGAATTAAAAATGATTTAATATTGCATAATGGAATTATTAAATTTTAATATGATGCAATTTTCTGTTTAATTCTTCAAACTTCAAGATTTTACGGATAAAGAAGTCTCCATAGCGATGAGCAACTTTAGTGTCCGCAATGTGGATCATGTCATGATCAATGTAGAAGTCGAGCTAAAAAAAAAAAATAACAAGTATTAAAAATTGTTTACCAGATATAGATAATAATAATAATTATTATTATTATAAGAAATATTTCTCACCTCCGAGCCAGATTGGAACTTGCCATCTAATCCTGATGCACCTTTAGTCCAAACAATATTCTTCATTTTATGCTTGAAGCACAACAAATGAATAGTTAAAGCAGCAACTTCTTTGTCCAGATCCCAGTTTTCGTCAGTGCTTGAACTATTTGATCTGTACATAAATGTTGCCAATTTACTCAACGGCAAAGTTGTGTATAATTTCAAGTATGATCGAATAGTGGGTAACATCTTTTGTTGAATAACTTCATCCATAAAAACTTGAGTTTGATGTTTAATAGCATCCTTGGTATAATCTTCTCTTGTGCTGTCAGGACTTGGTGGCGTTGAAGAAAAGAATTTAGGACAAGCAAACAGGAAGCAAGATTCAAATTCAACAATGTCTCCGTACTGCATTTTGTACATCTTTTCATGGTAATTACGTTCACGAAGTGCTTGTTGTAAGCCCTCATCAATGCATTGAGGATGAAGAACCAGACATATGGCTAATAGATGATACATTTGCTCCGTTTGCTTATTAATTTGGTCATTTTGATAACTTCTTGTTGTAAATAATTGCTTCGTGCGTTGAATGTAGAGCAAAATTCCAGAAAAAGTTCTTATAGCATCAGCATATCTTCTCATCATCATGTAAGCAAAACCGACGTAGTAGGCAGTTGAAATCTGGCATCCAGGAACATGGGAATAAGCGCTTTTCTTGTAAATCTCAACATTTTCTAGGACCTTAATGGCTTGGTAGTAATCTCCTAGTAAAGAATGAACTCTCAATAAACCAATAAGAGCAAAATATCCAAGCATTTTGTATAAAGAATGCTTTCCAAATGGTCCAGCAACGGAATCTGGATCTCCACCGCTTGCGTAAATTTCCAGTTGGCTTTTGATCTTGGATTTATCAACCAAATAATGCAAAACATTCAAAATACAGAGAATATCCCACACCTTATTATGGTTGCTCAAGTTTTCAATTTCTTCGGGTGTTTTATTAGTCAAGTTAGCTCGGTAATGCGAAAATGATTGGAACTGATAAACAAATTCATCAATAAGTTCCCAAAGCCACTGGTCAGGTAACTCCAATTGGACCGGCTCATCTGGATTCAAAATGTAATTAAATAAATCGCAGTAGTTATAAAATGAACCGAACCGTTGCTCCAAAGTGGGTCCTTGCATTCGTGCATAAATGTGACGGTAATAAAGCTCTTTGTATAAAATCAAAAATACCGTATCATTTTCAACAATATGAGCAATTTCGGACTCATCTGGCCACGATTGTTTTTCAAATAATTGCTCGCTTATTTTTGGAAATGTATTCTCGTAAAGATTTTGAATCTCAAATATCATTCCTTCGTTGATACAATTTCGGAAATAAATGAGAAACTTCCTCACAACTTCGGGAACTTGACGGAATCTTTCATAAGAATCCGTGTGGACGTCTGGTGGCCCATAATCCTCAAACGTATCATACTGTAAATTTATTAAATATTATTTTCAAGAAAATAATAACAAAATTTTCATGCAATTAATATTTATTTAGTCATATTTATATTTACCTGGTCACTGTATTCATCGTACATTGTTATTTTTTTCTATAATATTATTTTATTAAATGATTGATATCCGGTGCTACTATATACCACACGGCTTTAAGCATTAACGAATAAAGTAAGGTTATTTTCGACTACTAAATGGCGTCGGAATTTCTTTAGAATAACTAGTTGGCGCCAGTGTAGAATTTATAAATTTTTTTTTTTACTCCAACTAAGATTCTATTCAGTAAAACAAGTCACTTCGGGTATTATCGGGAATTTTTAATAGAACAGCCGAAGTGACACTTCTCGTCTTACTTGAGCCCAAACTCAGATATATATAAATGTGGATATATCACACGAGCATAAAAATAATTTCGAGACATCGATTGTATACGTCAATCATATGATCCATTAGGGCGTAACAGTAAAGAGAGCAAAAATAATTATTTTTTACAATTTAATTATCAACTTAATTTAACAATCGCGATAAAATGAAAGTCTGTGGTCCAAAATACGCCCTGTGTGGTCTTATAATATCAACTTGGGGAATTATACAACTGGTAAAATTATTTTTTATAGCTAACCTAGACAAAAAATTTTATTTATTTTACTAACTTAAAATAAAATTGAATTTAATAATAATATATAATTATATTTTTAGCTGTTGATGGGAGTATTTTTCTATGTGAGAAGTGTAGCTCTGATTGAAGATTTACCTCTTGCATCTGAACATTACTCAAATCCTAAAGATTTCTATGAAGATGTGAACAGAGGATTCATTCACAATGCTTACAATTGTTGGATTGCTGCTTGTCTTTATTTATTAACATTATTTTTCTCTGCCCATCAATTTTACATGAACTCAAGAACATCATTAAGTGTTTAAATGTAAAACCTAAGTTAGATTAATTATAGCCGCTGCTCTGTGTAACTTGAATTATAATTGGTTGGAAATAGCTGAGGTAAAATATGTTTTACGATTTTTTTAATTGTGTACCGTTGAGAAAATTTATAGCAGTAACAAAAATTTTATTATAATATTATTTTAACATGTATAAATGATAATTTTCTTCTCAAATTAGTCTTCAAATCAAATGAAATCTGCTCATCCAATATTGTATTTTTTTTGTGAAATAAGTTAACAATATTTATTCATATTACATACTAATTATTTACAATTAATATATTTCGTTATATGTTTCAAAACTACTTTTATTATTGTAAAACGTAAATTGTTCATTAATTTTCGAAGCATTCCATGTATATTATATATACATCTGTAATTTAGAACATTATCTGGTATCAATTCAAAATTATCCATTAACAATAACATTGTATTATTACTATTATTAATATATATATATAATATCGTTCTTTATGAAAATGTATAAATAAAATATAACAAACAAAAGTTATGAAAATATAAGTAGAAAAATAAAATAAACAAAATGTAAATTATGTGTATTAATATTTTAAAAGATAATAATCGAAATGTTATAATAAATAAAATATCAAAAACTTGAACAAAAATAATACTTTTAATGTCCGAAAAAAAATGAGTGCTAATAATTTTTATTGAATTTACTTGCAAATGTCTCGTATAGTAAGCTTATGAAGAATAATTACAGTAATTTTTTTGTCTTAAATTCATTTTAAAATTCCCGCAGTAAATCATGTGATGGCGCCAAAGGGTTAACGAGTTGATCGCAATGCTCTCTACAATTTATGTCGGAACTTATAGTTATTTCAAAACTACCTTTTATTTTATCTGAAAAACATAACTAAAATATTATTTTCTCATAAAGTATTTGTTGCAAAAGCGAAATTAATTAAAGAATTTTTTTTTTAAGCCAATAAGAGACTGAAAATACAACACAGCTTTCACATGGAAGCTTAAAATGATTGGAGAATTATAAAAATAATATTGTTTTTCGTTTCTAAGTTTGGTCCATGTATGTACATATTTCCAGTAAAACCCCGTCCTTATAAAGAATAAAAATCAAAAACTGTGTCGTCCATATATAATAATAGGAGAGGTTTTTTTATTCGAGGTATTGTATATTTTGGTAAAAATTTTAATGCTGATTACTTTTGAAGTTCGTATTATATTTATTTTTTATGAAGATTCTTTATGCTTTTATCTACATTTATAAAGAAAATTTATGCACATTTTAACATTGATATTTTTTATTCAATAAAATATGTTTTGAAAATAGAGTAGAAATAATGTATTATTAGGTACACAGGTTTCAATATTTTTAAATTTTTTATTGAATTTTTTTTCTAAATATTCTTAAAAGTAGATTTTACAAAGTAAATATTTTTATGTAATTTAATTATGGTTTTTTGTTTTTTCTTTAATTATAGCCGGTACAAGGGATGATGTAATATCAACCAACATGACAAGTGAACTAGCAGAAAATATTTTGCTCCATGTGGAGAAAAATGGAGAAACGAATTCATTGGATTTAGTGAATGTTTTTAATGAAGACCATCAAAAAATTATTGGAGCTATTAAAAGTCTCCAAACTCTTGATAATGTAAGTTGAATTATTATTTTTATCAACCGGCACAATATATTTAATTAATAATTAATTTAATTATCTCTTATAATATATATTTTGATTGAATTAGATAATTGAAGTTGAGCAGATTAGTCATAAAAAATGGGAACCAACTGCAGAAGGCGAACATGTTATTCAACATGGCAGTCACGAAGCCGCTGTATTTTTTGCCGTACCTGAAAATGGAATATTACAGGCAGAAATTATGAATTCTGTACCATATGCCAAAGTCGGATTATCAAAAGCTCTTGTGGCTGGTTGGATAAAGCTTGATAAAAGCTCTGGAAAACCAATGGTTATCCGAAATGTATCTACTATTGAAGATACAACGCAGAACAATCTGAAAAATTTTGATAATCTTACAGATAATATCAAAGCTGATTATAAAAAACGAAAGTTACTTCAAGAAATGTTAGTATTCATAATTATTAAAAAAAAATAAAATCATTGAATGAAAATTTCATAATTATTTATTACAGCATTGTTAAAAGCGTCATCGTTAGAAAAGGACCAAATTTTGCGACAAAAATTGAAAAATTAGAAACAGAATTAACGAGTGATTTATTGATAAATGGAGCGTGGAAGCAGAAAAAATTTAAAAAGTATAATTTTGATGCACTAGGATCTTCAACTGACACTGGTCATTTACATCCTTTACTTAAAGTCCGGGCAGAATTTAGAAATATATTTTTAGAAATGGGGTAAGATATAAAACTCCTTAACTGTAATGACTAAATTATTAATTTTATAATAAATAATTTATCTTTTGTGGGATTGTAAATTAGATTCGAGGAGATGCCGACGAATAATTTCGTTGAAAGTTCATTCTGGAATTTTGATGCATTATTCCAGCCTCAACAACATCCAGCTCGTGACGCTCATGATACATTCTTCATTTCAGGTATTTTTATTTACTATTGTAAATTATCTTTTATTTTTAATTATTTAATGAAATCTTTATTATAGATCCAAAGTATTCAACGAAATTTCCGCAAGATTATTTGGCAAAGGTCAAGCAAGTACACAGTAAAGGAGGATATGGTTCTGAAGGTTATCGTTACGATTGGAAGATAGAAGAAGCAAAAAAAAATCTTTTACGAACTCACACAACTGCTGTGAGCGCTCGAATGTTATATCAATTAATGCAAAAGGTATAATTTTAAAGATAAATTTATTTTATAATTCTTTTATCAAAAAAAAAAAAAAAAAAAAAGTTGTACTCATTGCTCTATATTTCAGGGTGAATTTAAACCAGTCAAATATTTCAGTATTGATCGCGTATTTCGTAATGAGACATTAGATGCAACTCATCTTGCAGAGTTTCATCAAATAGAAGGTGTAGTTGCTGATTATAATTTAACTTTGGGTGACCTAATAGGTACTCTGTATGAATTCTTTAAAAAACTTGGAATTGATAAACTCGAATTTAAACCTGCATACAATCCATACACTGAACCAAGTATGGAGATTTTTTGCTTTCACGAAGGATTAGGAAAATGGATTGAAATTGGAAACAGTGGTGTATTTAGACCTGAAATGATTTTACCAATGGGATTACCAGAGAAAGTTAATGCTATTGCGTGGGGTTTATCATTAGAACGGTAAATATAATAAATTCTCGTAAACGAGTATTTTATTAATAAATTACATGAATTAATATCACTGATTTACTTTTACTGTTAGACCTACAATGATTAAATATGGGCTCAACAATATACGAGACTTAGTAGGACCAAAAGTGGATTTACAAATGGTTTACAACAATCCCATTTGTCGTTTAGAAAAGTAAATATTCATTAATTATTTTGAGGTATTTATGATTTGCATTTATGATTTTTTTTTCATTATTCAAAATCTCGAGTTATGTATACGTTTTTTTTTTTTTTTTTTTTTTAATAACAATTATGTTACTTTTTACAATTAATGTATTCATTATAAAATAACTTGTTTTAACAGAGTGAACAACAAAAAATCTTCAAAAGTAAATGGATCACATAACAATTCTATTGAGACAAGTTCATCTGGAAATTGTCAACACCTTCAAGGCCAGAGTTATATCATATATTGTGATCCAAAGTATCCAATTTACTGGCTTGAGTCACTTTTAAGTCTAGCGGAAAATTGTTTTACGTCGTCGGTGTCAACTCACCTTCATTCGTCAGTTTTGAATCCATCTGAAGATCTTAAAAATTTCTGTAATAAATTCCGAAAGACTGATAAGACTGACATATCAATTATTTTTGTATGGAAATCTGTAGGAGTTGATCCATTGTTAGAGGCATCAGAAATGCGTACAATTTTTGGTGAAATTAATATTGCTCGTTTTTTAAATCGCTTAATTGAATCTGTTGATAAATCATTACTGAAATATGAAAGCAATGGTACTAAATATGCTAATCAAATTGATGTTGTTCTCGAAAAAATGCACCTATCAATGCATAAAAACAACAAATATATATTGAATGATTTACGCAGTAAATCTAAAACTCGTTATATCCTAGGAGATTTATCAATTATTGATATAATACTGGAAGCTCAACGGTAAAATCAATAAACTAATAATTTTTTATAAGTAAATATAAATAAGCTTCCAGCGTTATGTAATAATTCATAAAAAATAAAAAAACCCTTTCAAAATTATAAAAAATTCTGGCTTTATTTTTAGAAAAAGCACATAAATTGAATTATTTTGATTGATGCATTGTTTTTGTAAGTACTCTCAAATAGCTCTGTCAATAATTACCAAAAAAATAAAAAGTTTTTAGTAATTAATTTAACATCTATTTTTCGACAAGAAATTTGTTAAAATTCTTATTTATAAAATTAAAGTATCTTTGTATGGAATGTTTGAAACTATAAATAAAATAAAAAATTCAACAATACTAATGTATATATACATTGTATACTTATATACATGTTTTGTGCATTTTTATGCTCTAATTGTGCAATGTCACAATTTTTAAGGCAACAATATAAATACATATTAGAGATATAGTTTTTGTTCATCATGCAATTATGTATGTAAGTATGAAGATAAAATAATCAAAGCTCAGTAATAAGTACACAGTATAAGTGCATAATATAGGTTTCTTTGTAAAAATTAAATACCGAGTATAATATCTGGACGTAAGTAGTTGCATACACATGTATGTAAAATGTAAAGTTTGAGCTCGTTACTCATTTGTGTGTGTGTGTGTACATCCTACATGCTTGAATAAAAAAATACATATATACATATATTGACAAGAGAGAGAAAGAACGAAAACGAGAACAGTGCACTCTGGTCGCTTTCGTCACAAATAATTTATATATAGTGTGAGTGTAGCTTTTGGTTGTTAGAATTCTCTTTAAACAATAGTGTGCATAAATAACTAAATAAATTTAATTAAATTTAAAATAAACGATAAACATTTAGTAAATATATTGAATAAATAATTTTTATTCGATAATGATTATTTGGTGAAATCATAAATAAAACAATAAAAAAAAGGAATATCGTTGTAGTGATAGCAGTGTGTCACTACTAAAATGGCGACGGTCGGCGGTCATATATACTGGCAATGAATGGTAAAAAGGAAGTGCTGGACTAAGATAGTGTTTTGATTCGTGAAATAGGTAGTCAACGCACAACGAACGTCGTGCAAGTACAGTAATAACCACGCATCCGTTTGATAAATATACATTTTTTATTTATTATTTAATTATTAAAAATATAAAAATAATAACTGTTCCAGGTGCGCTTTTTAGTAAAGAAAAATCGAGAAGAAAAGTTGAAACGTGAATAAGATAACGGCTGTAGAGCAGCACCGCCCGGTGGTGGTGAAAATTCCATCTTTCGTGCTGTGACGGCCGCGATGCTCGTATTGTGCAGCGACTATATTTTTGTTGATAAATTCATTGGGACCATTGCTAAAAGAAAATATTATTTCGATACAAACATAATTAGCAGTAACATTTACGTCGAGGTCGACGTCACGAATAACGCTCGTGACCCTCGACTTGGGAGTTATTAGGTAAGCAATAAATATCACAGGATTTTTTTAATAATTGTATTCTTTTTGCGCATCAGCAACCTTTTTCTCATACATATCTAATTTTTCAATATTTATCATTTTTATTAGTGTTGACTTTTTCTCATCCAAGATTTCTTTCTAAAAGGATTGATGTAGATATATCTATATATATATATATATATTAAGGCATTAATATATATTTAAACATATATATCTATATATATAGCGTACATATCTGTTCTTTACTTTTTTTTTTATCTCGTGTTCCTTGTTCACTAGTTTACCGTTAATTATTACTATAACGTTTACAAAATCTCTGAAAAATAATGATACTATTGTATTTACGGTATTGGTATTACCAGTAGTTCAGAAAAGTAAATGCGATGCTTACACAAACCTTTTATCATCGTAAACTATATTTTTTATGATACTTCAAATAAGAGGTTATAGTTGGTTTCTTTGGCCCAATGACTGTGCAATTTAATCCCGTCCGAATATATTTCGAGTCCATGCCTTTGGATTAAAAAATTATTAATTAGATAAGATTAATTATTAATGCGGATGATGCAATATTTATTGAAATTGATAATTATTGATAAGCAAATATTCCAGTAAGGTACAATTGTTCTTTTTCTCATTTAATGAAATGATACAATTTTTAATTATAATTGATTCTTATTTTTTTGGTTAATATGAATATTAATTAGATCACAATCACAATAAAAAATATTAATTAAAAATTTTATGATTAATTTTTTTTTTTTTCATTTTTAGATTACTTCTGAAGTATAATTAAATCTTCAAAATGAAAATCGACAGAACCAGATTGAAAAAGTGCACTTCTGAAGTGGTAAGTTAAATAATGTAACAACTACTATTATAAATTTTTCCTTTATTTTATATATATAATTAATTATCATCTAAATTATTTATTTTATTTACAGCCTGCCGAATGCCAAGCACTAATCAGTAAATTGAGATCATGCTCTCACAGTGAATTACTAGAAGAATTAAAACAAATAGATGCTTGGACTTTCGGAAAATGTGAATTATTTCACTGGATCGATGTACTCGATCTCAGTGACAGTATACTAGAAGCAGCTGTTGCAAGAAGTCCTGATAACCCATGGGAATTAGCATGTGATCTTCCACAGAATAGAGAAGTAAATTTTATTTTATATATAAATATATTATTGTATTAACTATAGTTATTATAAATAAATAAAATCAATTATATTAACGTAACATTGGAAATATTTGTGTCTTCAGGCAAAAGAACTGCTTCTCTGGGTTCTTCATTTCACCACTCTATTGATAGAGCATTCATTTTCTCGACACCTTTACAACAGTATGGAACATCTTGTGACTTTGTTATCGAGTCGTGACATGCAAGTCGTCCTTGGTGTTCTGAGTCTTTTGTATATGTTCAGTAAACGAAGTAACTTTATCACTCGCTTGAATAGTGACAAACGACAGGCTTTACTCAGTCGTTTAAATCATTTAGCTGAGAGTTGGGGTGGCAAAGAAAATGGCTTCGGTCTTGCAGATTGTTGTAAAGAACATCCAGATAAACCTTTTCCACCAAGTGCTACGACTTTACACTTTGAATACTACGCAGAAAATCCAACAACTAATGAAGCAACTAGTAATTCAACCGTAAGTTCGAACACTAAAAAAGTTGGACAAACTAATTTAGTAACATATATACATATTGAAAATGTGGATAAACTTGGCAAGACACCAGCACAAATTATGAACGACTTGTTAAAATTTTACAATGTACCACAAGAGAGACAAATGGCTCTTTTGACACATATTAGATTGGCTCACAGCTTTTCTGATTATCGTAGACGTTTACAATGTGTTCAAGCTCGACTGCAAGCTCTTTCTGTACTTGTTTACAGTAATGCCTTGCAAGAAAATGCCCATAGTCTACTTCATGCTGGATTATTAGAGGAATTGGTTGAACTATTAGAACTTCCGCATCCTCATCTTGTTGATATTCGTGCAGCTGCATTACGCACACTCACAAGTATCATTCATCTTGATCGAAATCCTCATTTTCCTAAAAAACCAGGCTCTCGTCTTAATATGATAATAGATGTTACTGGTGCCAGTTCTTACCATGGATTTTTACCGGTATTGGTTCGCACATGTATAACAACACTTACATCGCCACAACCAGATGGTCAGCCTTTTCCTTTAGCATTGGCTACTGCATTGTTCAGTTTCTTGTATCATCTTGCTAGTTATGAAGCCGGTGGAGAGGCTCTTGTTAGCTGCGGAATGATGGAAAGTCTTCTTAAAGTGATAAACTGGCCTGGAAGTGAATTAGAGCATATTACGGTAAATATTTATTATTATTATTATTATTATTATTATTATTTTATTTATATTTTAATTACGTTAAATTCAAATTAAACTTTTTTTTATTTTTAGTTTGTAACGAGAGCTGTACGAGTGATTGATCTCATTACAAATATTGATATGCAAGGATTTCAAGCACACGGTGGTTTATCTAGTTTTATAAATAGATTAGATATGGAAGTTAATATTTGTAGAAAGGTACAGCCTTTCGAAATCGATCCAAGTATGTACAACCAAGATGTATCAGTACCTACTCGTGAAAAATTAAACGACAATTCAGATGAAGCTGGTCCATCACGCACTTCCAATGAGGTTTTCGATGAACGTGAAGAAACGTGTAACCCTATGGAATTTTCCGAAGACGAAAACACTAATTCTAAAACTGAAACTAAAATAGAACAAAATTCAAGCAGCAACAGCTCGCCGATACGGTCTGGTAAAACATGTTTACCTCAACGAGCTGCACTGTTGAAATCAATGTTTAACTTTTTGAAAAAAGCTATTCAAGATCCAGCGTTTTCAGACAGCATTAGGCATGTAATGGAAGGCGAATTACCGTCTTCGTTGAAACATATTATTAGTAATTCAGAATATTATGGACCATCGTTGTTTTTACTAGCAATTGATGTAGTTACAGTTTATGTTTTTCAAGAACCATCATTATTATCTTCGTTGCAAGATAACGGTTTAACGGATGTAGTACTTCACGCTTTGCTCATTAAAGATGTTCCGGCCACTAGAGAAGTTTTAGGTTCTTTACCGAATGTGTTCAGCGCTCTGTGTCTAAATCAACGTGGACTTGAATCATTCATGAAACGTCGACCTTTTGAAAGAATTTTTAAAGTATTAATATCACCGAATTACTTATCGGCTATGCGACGGCGTCGTAGTGCTGATCCTCTAGGAGATACCGCATCTAATCTCGGTAATGCTATGGATGAGCTTATGCGTCATCAGCCAAGCTTGAAAACAGATGCGACTGCAGCGATAATAAAATTACTTGAAGAATTGTGTGTACTTGGTTGCGATCCACGATACATATGCTGGCGAGCAGCTAGTAAAGCTGATAATTCACCATCGAGTTCCAGTTCTAATACTCGACAATCATCCGGTCAATCAGTTGGTGTTGGTGTAGGTGATAATGGAGCTGGAAGTGGTGGAGCCGGAGGAAGTAGTAGTGATGAAGAAGAGGAAGACGAAGAAGAGGCAAGCACAAGTTCGCATCCACAACGTGAAGAACAACCATCACCATCACCAGTACAGCCTGGACCTCCACCGCAACAACCTCGAGAAAAAACACCAATTGCTCTTGTTGATTATATTCACAATGTAATGAAATTTGTGGACGCAATATTAAGTAATAATTCAACCGATGATCATTGTCGTGAATTTGTTTCACAAAAAGGTTTAGTTCCATTGCTGTCTATCCTTGGATTACCCAATTTACCAGTTGATTATCCTGTAGCACAACCCGCACAATCTGTTGCGTCAGTCTGTAAAAGTATTCTTAATCTCGCTCATGAACCACTTGTATTAAAAACTGGTCTATTGCAACTGAATGAAGTACTATGCCTTTTAAAACCACTTCACAGTCATATGGAATCACCTGGAGGCTCAGTTCTTCTTCATGAACTTGCATCCGCACCTAATTTAGAAACAGCATTCACAAGTGATACTGCAACACCACTACTTCATGCTATGAATGCTGCTCATAGTTATGTTGTAATGTTCGTTCATGTCTGTCGAACTAGTCAAAGTGAAATAAGAAATCTCTCTATGAATCATTGGGGCTCAGAATTAGGTTTAGCAGTTCTCCAGGGCTTATCAGAATTATATATGTCACTTGTGTGGGAAAGTACGCTTTTACTTGCACTTTGTAGTGATGATAGCATTCCAGCTGGATGTGATTTTGGTAAAGAAGACATGGATAAACTTATCCCAGCTGAATTAAAAACAGATGGAGATACATCTATTTGGCCCAGTGCTTCTGCTGCATCAGACATGGGTAGTAATGGTATGACAACTGCTATGGAAGCTTTGAGCACTGATCCTCCGCCAGTGTCAATGGAAGTTGATGATAGTAAACCAAACACTAGTACTGGAAGAGCATCACCCAGTCCACATCAACTTAAATACATTAAACCACTTTTAGGTGCATCCTCAAGACTTGGTCGTGCTCTGGCAGAATTATTTGGTTTATTAGTTAAACTTTGTATGGGTTCACCCATTCGACAACGTCGTGGACAACAATTACCGATGATGCCAACTATACCTAATTCTGCAGCACGTGGTGTTGCCTGTGCTCTTAATATTTTGCTCACTCGTGGATTATCTTGGGACAAACTTCCACCGTCACCGCTTCCTAAATTTAAATTGACTTTTCTTATCTGCTCTTTAGGATTCACCTCGCCCATGTTATTTGATGAAAAACGACATCCTTATCATTTGATGTTACAGAAATTTGTTCAATTAGGAGGACAAAATGCATTTTTCTCCACATTTCGTTGGGCTTTGTCAGGTGGTGAGCAGTTCTCTTTATCTGAGGGCTTAGAACACCCTGACCTACCTGATGGAACTGGTGAATTTCTTGATGCTTGGTTGATGCTTCTAGAAAAAATGGTCAACCCTAAAGCTATATTAGATTCACCCCACGTTGGATTAGCTAAGTGTACTGGTTTCAATAATACTTATCGATCCCAAGATCCAATAATTAAATATTTACAAGATATACACAAAAAGGCATTTGAAGCAGTCATGCTTATGTGGGGTAAGAAACCTCTTAAGAATTATGGCGCACGAATGACTGAATCCATATTATCTATTTTGCGACATATTCTCCGTGGAGAAAAATTAATTAAAGAACGTACTGAGGAAGAAACAACTGAAGACACATCAACTACTAGTACAAGTGGAACAGCTGCAGCAGTATCTAGAGCAGGAAGTAATAATGCTACTACAGAACGTCGAGATGACCCTGAAGCAGATGTCAATGCTGAACATCTTCGACAATTAATGGACATGGGTTTCAGTCGTGCTCATTGTGTGGAAGCTTTGCTTCATACACTGTCTGTTGAACAAGCAACTGATTATCTGTTGAGTAATCCAGCAACTCAACGTCGACCTGATGTTTCTGTTGGCGATGTTAGTGGCCAAGGACCTATTATGGATTTAGATTTTACAGACGATCAAGTTATGTATGCTATTGCAATGTCCTTAGGTGATTCAGATACTCGAAAATCTACTGAAGAACCACGAGATGTACCTATCACACAAACTATCGATGAATTTACTGGTACAGCTTTGGAACAATGTCTCAATTTACTTGATTTAATGCCCGATACTGTGTACAGAATTTGTGATCTTTTGGTAACAATCACCAAAAGAAACGGTGAAGAATGGCGTGATACTATGTTACGTCATTTGATACGTGATATAGGTGAACTTGTTGATTATCTTATTGATGTTGCAGAATCAGCGGAAGAGGATGCTGGTGTACGATTAGTTGAATGCGAACAAGCCACTAAAGTTGCTGGACGGATATATTTATACACATTGTTCTTCGAAGGAACTTTCCAAGAAATGAGAGTTCCTTGTGCACAGATAGTCGAAGAAAGTGGAATTCTCAATAAACTTGTTGATCTTTTAGTAGCAAGTGAAGGACCATTAACATCGCATAAAGTTAAACTTACAAAAGAATGCAAAGATGGTCAAATGCCTGTTATTAAAACACCTAAATGGCTTGCACCTCTTCTTTTACTTATTGATAGACTGGAAAAAGTCGCTGTATTAACTCAGCGTAAGCAGCTTATGCACAAAGTAACAAATAAAGTGTGGAAGTGGTTTGATTTGAGCAGTGGAAAATGGACAGCATATTCACCATTAAATAATCGTTTAATTAATGATGCTTATTGGGCTGGTGAACCAAGTGTACGGATAAATTGTTCACGCCGACGATATTTAATAACATTTTCATGTATGACACAAGTTAATGAAGATAGTGACAATAGACGACCTATCACAATGGACTTTAAATTCCAAAATGCTAGCAGTGATGACGCGAGCTCAGGATCTGATTCCAATATGGATACTGAAGAAACACCATCAGAAGAAAAACGTAATAATACAGTTGTTCAAGGTTTAAATCCAATCGCTGCGCCAACTATTGTTAGTACATGTGTTAAACTACTGGCAATTCCGGTTGATCGTGATACTTTACATGCTTTAATGAAAGTATGTTTACGATTAACACGAGATTATAACAATGCTCAAGTATTTGCTAAAGAAGGTGGTGTAAAATTACTTTTGGAAATGACTCAGGCAAGTAGTTTTATTGGTTGTATTAGTTTGAGCACTCTTTTAATTCGACACACCCTAGAAGAACCACAAACACTTCGTCTCGCAATGGAAAAAGTTGTTCGTAGTCGTACTCAAACAAATATTCCACCGGCTTATAAAGAAATTCTATTTATGACACGACAAATAAGTAGTGCCGTTTGTAGAAATCCTGAGGTTTATCGTGAGGTGTGTGATGATATTTTAAGAGTGGACATAAGTGTTTTGAAAAAAGACGATACTGATAATCGTCTTGTTGTAAAAGCTTTACCTTCAAATCATTCATCAGCGACGCCAATGGTCGAAGAAATTTCTATCAGCGTTGTTCACGATCTACTTAATGCTTTGATAAAACCAGTTCCTGTATTTCCGGATGACAACACCGCTACACCAACTGGAACTCCGGAAAAAAAATCAACAAATCTCACAACAATAGCAGCAACAGCACACGGTGTATCAGCCACAAGTTCACGACGAACTGATGGTACAAGAAACAATGCATCTACTGCAAATGGACCATTAGATGATGATGATCAAATAGTACCTCTAAAAATGTATACCGATTATATGAGCAATGGAAAAGTTGAACCTGAAGAAGCCAAAAAGCCTTTACTTTCAAAATCTGCTATTTTAAAGATGTTGGCAGAATCGATACGTTCTTACGGTGCTGTTGCTAATTTAATAGCTGAACATACATATAGAGCAAACCAAAGTGAAATGGTTTCTGAGGAAATAACAGCACTAGGTTTTCTTTTGGATAAACTTTTACCCATATTGCCAGAAAATTCAGGTGATCGTCAGTGCAGTAGCATGGCACGTATGCTTATTGCTGCTATTGCTTCTTGTAATCATTCACCTGATGCCCAAACGACTTTAGTTACTGAAGTTAAAGCAGCTCTACTACGAACGTTAACGTTACCAGAAAGCTCGGAAAAACATGCTCAATTACAATTAATCATTGGATTAATTTCAACAATGATTGACAGTTGTCCTCCTACGTCACATACTCCATTACGAGTGCCGTCAAAAGTTCATCAGTATAATAATGTCAATTATATTGTTAGAATAATGTTGAAAAAAGGAATAATTACAGACTTAGCTAAAATTCCTCACAGTCTTGATTTGTCAAGTCCAAATATGGCTGGTACTATAAACGCCGCATTAAAACCTCTTGAAACATTATCAAGAATTATAAATCAACCAATGCCTGGAACAGTTAACAACAAATTTCCAAAACCGAAAAATCGTACTGTTCAAGATGAACCAATTGGTGATCAAACTGGTACAACGACATCAGAAGCAACTCACGCTGTTGGTGAGGAAACTAATGAAGATGCTGAAAATACCGAGCATGATATTTCTTTAAATGCTGAAAGTCTTGAACCTACTTCTGAAAGTCAAGTTCATGAAGAGGGTGACGAAGCTGCGTTGGAAGATATTATGGATCAACTTTTAGAGAGGTATGATGCAATAAATATTATTAATTATCTAACAAATTATATAATATTAAAACAAGAACTTCAGTGTTTATAATCCAATAGTGTTTTATTTTCCAGAGACGGCTCGGCCGTTACTGAAGAACCAACATCACGTTCTCACCGACCAATGGATATTGATGATGAAAGTCTTGCAATGCGTGACACTGATGGTGACTTTGATCCTACTCGTGACACAACCGTAAGAGTAACGTCTCGTTCAGTCTATATGACCATTACAACGTATTTCAAAAACCAAAAGAGCATATTAAAAAATATAGTTTATTCTTTTTGTTTTTCAAAAAATAAACTTTGAACTTATAAAGCTAATTAATACTTTTATATTATTAACTATACTAATTAATTAACAATATTTTTAAAAAATTTTACATGATCTTTTGGATTTAGCAATGCGAAATATTTATTTTAGTAATTTTTATGTAGACACTATTTTTAATTATTTGATTAATTTTGTTTTATAGGAGGACTTAATGAGCTCCGATTCAGACTCAGACAGTAACCAATCAGATGATAATGAAGATGATGTCCAGGATGATGACGATGATGATGAAGAGGAGGAGGAGGAGGAAGATGATGGTGAAGAAAATGAAGAAGAAGATGAAGAAGAGGAAGAATCATCGAATTATGGAGAAGAAGATCATATGGGCTACATCGAAGGAATTAGTGACGCTGTTCGTATGATGGCATCTGCAGAAAGAGACGTGAGCAATGTCGTAATGATCCCCCACAATTACGATAACCATGACAATAACGCAGCCTTACCAACATCAACAAGACCTAATCATTCTTGGAGTGCAAACTTTCCTTTACCCGTTTCACTATTTGAAGATTTACCTTCTGTATCTGAAAGTAACGGCATTGGATCGCATCCATTATTATTGGGAAGTGGGGGAAGTTTAGATATAGCCAACTCAAGAGCTCAAAGAGCTTTACGTCAACGTAGATACCAATATCTTCAAATAGCCAATCCACGAAATTCAAATTCTCCAGTTATTTTACAACGATTACTGGTTCCAGCAGCTCAAACACTTCCTATGTCGGCCAGTCAAGTATTAGCATCAGGATTTCGTGATACACGTGTCGTTGTAATGGATAATAGTCTTGGTATTTTCTCTAATCAAGAAGAAGAACAAATAGACTTTGTAGATCAATCAGGTTACTTGTTTGGACCTAGTTTAGCAGCAACATTAAATAACATTCCTACGGCTCTTCACTGGTGGATTGAAGAGAGCAAACTTTTGGATGGTGATTCACAACCAGATTGTTGTGTTGGGATTGTTCACAAATTAATTTCAAAATTAGAAAAGCAACGTAATGCAGAATTAGCTGAGAGAAAAGACAAACGTAAAAAACAACAAAATACTGAAAAAGATACGGAAAAAGACAGTAAAGACGCTAAAGATTCTTCGAAAACACGTGAGTCTGGATCATCAGTAATTGTAACCTCTCCTCAAGCTGAACAACAGCAACCATCTGGATCTGTTCTTATAAGGGCAAATTCGAGAAGGCTTGCTGATACTGTTGAAGCTGCAGTTGAAGCGGTGGGCGAAAATACCAACCGTGAAGATAATGTAATTGAAATCACTGGTGAAATGGAAGTAACTGTACAAGATGATGAAGAGCGAACTCCACCTCCACCTCCACCACCTCCACCTCCAGAAGAACAGATACCTGATACAAGAAATCCTTTAACTATTCTCAATGCGCCACTCGAACTTGCAGAAAGTTTGATAGATTCTGTTCTTCAACCTAGCACAGAAGAAGCTACAAGATTACGAAGGCTGAACTCAAATCGTGATTCGGATGAAATGAATCTCAATCGTTCATACAATCCACTTCCAGAATCAAGAGATCCCGATGCTTGGGTACAGAGATTATTGGGTATTGATCAGTCTCGACGAGAAAATAATGCCAATATTTCAATTCAAGATCCTTCATCGTCATCATCTACCTCAGATAACATTATAACATTTACCGAACAATGTGAATCTCAACAAACATTAGAACAACAACCACAACCACCAACTTTGGATCAACAACAACAACAACAACAATCTTCACAATCACAGATAGCAACACAACAAACACCTTCAAACCAAACAACATCACAAGAAGCGCAAGCACAATCAACTGAATCACCAGAAACGCCTACTGAACAACAACCGACACAACAACCAGGACAATCTCAAGCTCAAGCACAGCAACAGTCGTCACAAGAACTTCAATTACCAGATGGAGTGGATCCTTCATTCCTTGCTGCGTTGCCCGATGAAATGCGTGATGAAGTGATCGCTGAACAATTGAGACTCCAACGAATAAGACAACGTACGCAAGCAACCGTTGTTGAAGAAGTTACTGGTCCGGTGGAAGTTAATCCAGAATTTTTAGCTGCATTACCACCAGCTATTCAAGAGGAAGTTCTTGCACAGCAACGATTAGAGCAACAGCGTCACGCTGCAGCTTCCGCTAATCCAGCAGATCCAGTAGATGCTGCAGCTTTTTTCCAAAATCTCCAACCATCATTACGGCAAGCTATTCTTACAGATATGGAAGAATCACAAATGTCTGTATTGCCTCCTGATCTTGCTGAAGAAGCGCAAAATTTACGTAGACAATGGGAAGCACGTAATCGACATTTAATGCAAGAACGTTTTCTTAATCATGTTAGTCAAGGTAGTACAGCACTGTCAAGCATTTTAAGAAATTCTGGGCGAGGTAGAGGTGGAGGAACACGGTATGCTATCCACTCAGTAACTCAAAGAGCTCAATGGAACTCATGGAATCCACGTGGTGAAACTAGTATTTCTCATCAAAGTGCAGGACTGCGTTTACGTGGACGACAACTTCTTGATCATGAGTCAATGGCATGTTTACTTGTACTTTTATTTGTTGATGAACCAAAAATTAACACACTAAGACTTCATAGAGTCATTAGAAATCTTTGTTATCACACAAACACGCGAGAATGGGTAGTGAAAGCTCTTTTAAATATCATGGAACGTAGTAATGATGAAAATAAAGAAATAATGAATGATTTTACTGGTAAATTTAAAAGAAAAACAGCACATTCATCCATTGATTACTGTTCACCTAAATCGGACTCAAGAAATAATTTGCAATCATGGTTAAATATAAGTATCGATGCTGCTCTTGGTTGTCGTGCTAATGTATTCCATATTTTACGACATACTGGAAAAAAATCGGAAAGAATAGGAAGTACGATAGCAATTCATCCTCAAGCAGCACCAACTGTTTGTAGGCATACCTTAGAACTTCTTATATCATTAGCTAAAAGTTTTCCTGGTTACTTTGTGCCAACAAAATTTAAAGAATCTGAAGATAAGAGTAAAGAAAAAGAATCTAGTGTTAAAGAAGAGACTGGAGCTAAACCAAAGTCCGCATCAAAATCCATAAAAAGTGATATTCCAGATTTTTGGGATATGCTCCTCAAACTAGATTGTTCTGTTTCGAAAAAAGGTAAATCTGTTGCCCGAGGACACTTGACATCTGGATTTGGTAGTGAGTCTGAACAAAGTTTAACATCATTTGAATCATCAGCTTTCGGACAATTGATATCAATGCTTAATTGGTCAGTTGTTAGACGCAGTAGTCAGTTAACTGATAAATTACTTCGACTTCTCTCTTTAATATCAATTGGCCTCACTGAAGTTAATTCTTATCGACGTCAAGATGCTGCAAAAAATAAAAAAGTCGAACCAAGTAAAGAACAGAGTGTAGCGGCACCTGAAGGACATCTTCGTCTTGCGGTTCAAGTTTTAACAAGCAAAAGTTGTTCTGAAGAAGGTTTAGAAGACGCTACTGCTTTACTTCTTAATTTATCTCATTGTCCCGATCCTACACGACAATTGATATTAAAACTTTTACTAGAAGGAGCTATGGAATTAGCTAATATGGTATGTGATCATATTAGTGAATTAATGAAAGAACTTAAGGTATTGAATTTAGAAATACGTCGTAGAAATTCATTAGAAGATCAACCATCAACAAGTGCCAGTGTATCAGGTCGTGGTAATTTAACAGATCGATTTACTCAAGACAGTGTTGTTATTACTGCACCCTCTAAAGTTAAAGCTGGTACCGATCTTCAATTACCATCAATGAGTGCTCTGGTCAGCAAGACTTCTAGTCAAGCATTCTTCTTACGAATACTTAAAGTTATTGTACAAATTAGAGAAGCCGTTTATTTGGCAAATAAAAAGAAAAATGAGACTGCACAACATACAGAGACTGCTATGGAAACTACAGTACCATCAACACAACAAGCACAAGAAACTACTGTTGATGATAGTACATCTGAAAGTACTGCAATGGATATTGCACAAGCCGCTAACACAATAACAACTTTAGCAACAATGACACCACCAACAGCAGCAGCAGCAGCAGCATCAACAACAGCAACAGCTACAACAACAACAACGACGACGACAACTACTGCTGCTACTACTACTACTGCCGCAGTAGCAGCAACGGTAGAAGTGGCACAGCCGGACAACCTTAAAGCGCCATCATCTTCTTCACGAACAGATGAGGATAAATCAGCACTTCCATTATTGAGCGAAAGTCTGGTACTAGATAACTTATGGGAAACTTTGAGTGCCTGTCTACTTGAGTTGGAACACACTCCAGATCATCATGCCGTCCTTGTTCTTCAACCTGCGGTTGAAGCCTTCTTTTTAGTACATTCGTCATCAAGTACGTCTACGCGAGATCGTAACAATGAGACAAATGCTGAACCTAGAGAAGCCGTTGCGGATATAGCGCCTGTTTCACCAAGTTTCAATGAAAATGAAGGTCAATCACAAAATGAGACTGCCAACACAATTGCTGCATGGGACATGACTCCTGCACCACCAAAATCATTACCGTCCGATCAACTGAAATTCCTTAAATTTGCTGAAACACACAGAACTGTTTTAAACCAAATTTTACGGCAAACAACAACTCACTTAGCGGATGGTCCGTTCTCTGTACTTGTTGATCACACCAGAGTTTTAGACTTTGATGTTAAACGAAGATATTTCCGAACGGAATTAGAACGCATGGATGAAGGTATCAGAAGAGAAGAACTTGCTGTCCATGTTCGAAGAAGTCATGTCTTTGAGGATTCATTTAGAGAGCTTCATCGTAGAAATGCTGACGAATGGAAAAATCGTTTTTACATTGTTTTTGAAGGTGAAGAAGGTCAAGACGCTGGTGGGTTACTCAGAGAATGGTATGTCATCATTTCAAGAGAAATATTTAATCCTATGTATGCACTCTTTACGGTCAGTCCTGGTGATCGGGTTACATACATGATTAATTCATCGTCTCACTGTAATCCTAATCATTTGTGTTATTACAAATTCGTCGGCAGAGTTATAGGTAAGTTTAAGATTCGTGAAAAAAAACATTACTCCTCTTTTCCTTTTGAAGAATATTAATTAATATTTACTTATTTTTTTTTTTTTTTTTTCTTTATAATAGCCAAAGCAATTTACGACAACAAATTGTTAGAGTGCTATTTCACTCGTAGCTTTTATAAGCATATTCTTGGTATTCTTGTAAAACATACTGATATGGAGAGCGAAGACTATAGTTTCTACAAGGGCCTGGTATATCTAACTGAAAACAATATTTCTGATCTTGGATACGAACTGACATTCTCTGCAGAGGTAATTATAAGAATAATTTATCTTATTTTTATTTTTAAATAACGATTAATTATTAATCGATTGATTGATAACAATAGGTCAACGAATTCGGGGTCAATGATGTTAGAGATTTAGTACCTAATGGACGCAATATTGTTGTCACAGAAGATACAAAACTTGACTATATAAGATTAGTCTGTCAAATGAAAATGACTGGAGCTATTCGTAAACAGTATGTATTTTTTTTTTCTTTTTTTCATATTAGCTATTAAAATTTTATTGACAAAATGGACAATATTTAAATTATTTTTCTTTGCAGATTAAATTCATTCTTAGAAGGTTTCTATGACATCATTCCAAAACGATTAATATCTATATTTAATGAACAAGAATTGGAGCTATTGATAAGCGGTCTACCAAACGTCGACATCGAAGATCTTCGAGCAAACACAGAGTATCATAAATATAGTGTTACCTCGCTTCAGGTAATTTATTAATTCAAAGTAATAAAGAAAAATTTATATATAGTAATATTGATTAACCAAAAAATTTTTTTTTATTTCTTATAGATTCAATGGTTCTGGCGAGCTTTGCGTGGATTTGATCAGGCTGACCGAGCGAAATTCTTGCAGTTCGTTACAGGCACATCGAAAGTACCGCTTCAAGGTTTTGGTGCCCTTGAAGGTATGAACGGTGTACAGAAATTCCAAATTCATCGTGACGATCGTTCGACAGATAGATTACCTTCTGCACATACGTGGTATGTTTTATTTAAAATAATTTTTTTTTCTTTCATTGACTACTAATGAACAATTACAAATTAAAATTATTCTGTTGATTATTACAGCTTCAATCAATTAGACTTACCTGTGTATGAGACCTACGATAAACTACGAAGCAACTTACTTAAAGCGATTCATGAATGTAGCGAAGGATTCGGATTTGCATAAATACATTAAAAACATATAATTGAGGAAAAAAAAATATCTTTATAATTAATTTGCAAGTTCGATATATGTTTCCGGAAATATACGTAATAACGAAATGACTCAGTTCACTTACTACGATTCCGATTAAACATAAATATTACAAGGAAATATATATACATTAAAAAAATAAATATTCAAATATATAATGATATGCTAAAAAAAAATATGGTAAATACTTTAAATGATTGCTGCCGAAACTTGCATTAAATCGAACCATAGCATATATTAAACAAGCGTATGTATATATACATGTGAATCGAAGGTGTAATTATTAAAATTCACCCTGCAACGCTTCCTAAAAGAAAAATATCAGAGTTTATTTTGTTGAATGAAAAAATTGCACAGTTGCAGAGCTTAATATTAATATTTGAAAATAAGAATAAACAATAAAATATAATAAGTTTTTATTTGTAATAAACCTACATAGGTAATGTCTTTTTATTATTATATAAATGATATGTTACGAATAATATGTAGAAGTAAAAATTGTAAGATATACTTGAATGAAGATGAAAGAAAATTCAAAAGATTAATTATCAGTGATATATATTGATATATTATAATTGATTTGATAGCTTTGGTAGTTTTTCTTTTGAATGATGACAAAAGATAGATTGCGAATTTTTAAAAATACAATTAAAAAAAAGTAAACAAAAAAATGAATGATTGAAAAAGAAAATATTAAAATGTCAGTTTAGTGAAAATGTAAGAATGTATGATTGTATGTGAATGTTAATAAAATCGTAAAGAGCCTAATGAAAAATAAATAACAAAATAAAACTTGGGAAAATAAACAAAAAAAAATAAAAATAATTCGTTTACTAAAGATGAGTCCTCAATGTCCGACAAATGTATGGTTGTAAACTAATTAGTATTAATAACTCTAACTAATTTTTAAATAAATAGTAATACTTTTTAATTAATTAATTAATAATAATAATATCATTTTAATATTAATCATTTGAAATGTGATGTTATAAAAAAGAAATTGTAATTTTTTTTTTTTTTTTTTTTTTTTCAATTCTAACGAAATAAAGTTTACCGTTGAACTCGAATAATTAGTTAACATTAAATGTTATAATATCGAGTAAATTTTTCAAAATTTAACAGTTACACATTAATCATTTAACTTAAATAATTTATATAAATAATGAAGAAAAAAAATAGAAAATTTGTAACAGAAAAATATACATATATATTTCATATTTACACGTACATACACATCGTAATGAGAATATAGTTTTTTACAGCCGAATTCGTTGTAATAATCAACGATGTGGAAATGAGAGTGTTGATCAACGATAGTTGACTACAGTAATCTTGACGATAAATCCAACTATATTGATAATGTATTGTTATTGATTGTAAAGACCCATCCATAAATGAAAGCAACAAGCATTAACGAAGCCTTCAATTAAATTATGGATCTCGCTGACACTAAACGGTGTACTTGTTATTTCAACAGACTTTCGATAAACTGCAAATAATTCCTGAAATATTTAAAAAACAAACATTTTTTATTATTAATCATTAAATATAAATAGATTTTAACTTACGCCTCGAGATGTATGAAGATCAATAGTCAGCATCATAAATACTTGAAGATAACTAGGATGTAATATAAGATGATGGCTAACATTTCCATCTGGAGTGCTGAACTGTTTATGATGTTCTTGATATTTATTTTGCAACACTTTTGCAAGCGCTTGATACCAACTAATTGGCTGATTAACAAGTGGACTTAATCGCGAATCAAGATTTGACAGTGGTTCAACTTTAGCGAGTGATCGAAGTTCAGTAAATTCAGCATAAGTCATTGTAGATTTATTCTCTAACAATTTATTCCACAGTAAATGAGTTCTACAATGCAGCATACCTTTGTCAATCATATTTGTTATATGCTGACGAACTGCCTGTGCTTGAGAAATAATAAGTTGTTGCATTAACTGTTCATGAGATGAATAATATCCCAAATAATTAATTGACTCTCGGCGAATTTGTAGCAAATGAGGGGAACTCATTGACGATCTTGTTATTGTTTCTACACTCGTTAATGGAGAACTTGGTACTGGCGGTGGAGTAGGTGCGAACATTTGATTAATAATAGTATTATCACTTATTTCTTTGTAATTATCATTATCTATATTATCATCGTTACTTTTATTATTATTATTATTATTATTATTATTATTATTATTATTATTATTATTATTATTTTGTTTTATAAATTCAGTCGTACTTAAATTATTGTCCGTAAATTCATAGTCAACGTTTGATTCATCCCGAGAACTTCTGTTGGATGACGGAGTTGGGGTTGTTAAGGTTGATTCAACAGAACTTTCAACGTGTGAACCACTTGGTGTTTTAACAATACTATAAACCGTACGAAATTTACCTAATTTATTGTTTTCAACTTCTTTTTTTGGATACAATTCACGTTTACTTATTAATATAAGATAATATTTAAGTATTATTTCACTTTTTTCTAATTGCACTGGCAAATCTTGTTTTGATACTATTAATATTACTGTAAAATCATCAGTATACTTAACATCCTGAACATCACAATAATTAACTGAAGGCGTATTTTGTATACGGACTAATACATATTCACTTTCTTGATCATCAAGTGAATCACTTGTCATTCCAAATACTTGCATACCATAAGTCTTTTCGTGTGATAATAAATATGAATAAAGTGTTGAGGCTGGTGTTGTTAAATTATTAACTGTTATTACATCACTGTATACAAGATTTCTTGCAAAGTTGGGAGCTTTGCTGTAATACTTAATAAAATCATCTAAAAAATGAGTAAGATGATAACCCTGTATTAATGACCACTGTCCAATACCGGATATATATGAATGAATGCATCTTAAATGAAAATCATAAGTAAATGAATGTAAATGCATATTAATTTTAACTTTTTCACAGTTATCAACAAAACTCAATATAAATTGATTGACTAAACTAGCACCGGATTTATTTTGTAAGCGATTACATTCAATTACATGTAATTTCGCAGTAAAAAATGGCTCTTCCAGGCAAAGTTCAAACAGTAAAATTCCACCCAGCATAGATTTTTTTAAATAACATTTTTTTTTCAACTGATTAGACTCTTCAATTGAATTTTTATGACTAGAAGAGTCTATTTCTATAAGATTAAAACCCAGATCTTGTAAATATTGATTATACTCAAACATCATTGATCTACAAAGTTCTTGATGCCAAGCTGTTGCTTCGTTATTACTCGATCCCATTTTTTGGTAACCATCTGACGATTGCCATTGAGAATTTATTGGCGACATTGATGACGGTGGAGTTAATGAATGATCTCTAGTTGCTGCAGATTGAAATCTCCATTGAGGTAAAAATAAAATAGGCGTATAACAATAATGTATGAGACGTGATAAGCGCTTAAATGTATTTATATTAGTTGATGACATTGGTATATTTGGTGCAGCACTTCTACTTTGCCACATTGTGTGTAATCGTGTAAGATCTTCTTTATTTTTACGCTCACGTTGATGTAAATCTTGAAGATCGTGAACTGCTATCACAACAGGGTCTACAGTATTTGGAGGATAATGCACATTTGGTCGTGCATCACGCATTACTTGACTCACCAAAGGATAATGTACATTTCTTCCAGTTGACAATCTATGACTTGATTTTGACCAATCGGTGTTTTCTGCATTGTACATCGCTGAAAATTTAGTCATTGATTCAATATCTGATATTTGACATTCATCACGCAAATGAAAAGATTCCATTGGTTGATGATGAAAAATTCCCAATTTCTGCATTACGACATTTGAAAGTAAAACTGATCGTGATGATAACCATGCACCCAAATTAGTTGCTTGCTTAATTAATTTTTCCGATCGTTCTTTTGACCAATTGTACATGTACAAAATAAATTCATTACCTTGTACTTTTGCTAATAGTAAACGTTGCCGTGGAATAAAATTTGTTTCTTGTATTAGTGGATTAAATTTTTGAAGTAATTTTTGATCCTTTGGCATCAACAAATCAGGTTCAGTAATATTATTGATTGAAGCTTTCCATTGATTAAAATTTCTAGCGACAATAACAGCTTTTGAATGTGATTTGGTATCATCAAAATTAAATTCATATGGCACATAAATTATTTCATCATTATCATCATCATCATTATGTTTATGATCATCAACACGAAATGAGTAATTGTCAGAATTATCTTTAGATTTATCATCATTTTGTACATGTAATTTTTTGAATGGTAAAAAAGTATTCGGCGATACTGTATCATTTATTAAAAACGGCTGACTTTGATCCAATACAAATGCTCGTGTAGATGTGTCAGGAGCATTGACACGGATTAAGTTTTGTAATTCTTTTATTGTTGTAGATATAGGATGTCTATGTTGAATAGGTACAACGTGTTTTCGTACAGATGGTACACCCATGTCTAATGCAAATTGATACCAACACGGTATAGTTTTGTGATAAATTTCATTAAGCATTCCTATTTCACCTAACTCATAAGAATTACAATTCAATTTAGCTTGATCTAAACTTTTTAAATTACTCGGTAGTTGATAATATTCATTCGAATCGTCTTTTGACTCTAATGGATTCATTTGAACAGATACAGATACAGTTAGTGGTACAGAAAAAAGATATAATTCATTAATTAAATCCCAAATGGCATGTTTGATGGCAGCTCCAAGTTTTTCTTTCAATGTTTCAACATTTACTCGTCCCTGTTTCCAAATACGAAATTCAATAGGTACATCTGGAATCGATGCAGAACGAGTTTTACCTTCGTAAACAGTTACAGAAATAGCATCTGAAAAATCAGATATTCTCATTGTGTCTGGAAAAATTTTATCACTTGATAACATTATTTCTTTATCAATAGCCATTGCAATACAAGCAATACCGCGATTACCGCTTGATTGACTTTGATTATTTAAAAAAATATCTGTTTCAGGAACACGTTTTTTTGAGCCTTCAGGCTGAGAATAATCTTGCAAATGATAATGTGCACGTGGATCTGTATACTTGGGAATGTACAAAAATTGTAAAATATTTTGTCGTAAATAATACGCTAATGCGCCAATGTGTTTAATGTAATAAGGCTGTACAGAAAATTGTACATAGCTTTCTGGTGATCGATATGGTTTTTGAATAAAATGTACATCAGCTGGTGTTAATTTACACATTGGGTTTCTAGCTAACATTACAGACAATACTTCTAATACAGCATCGTCTAACCTATTATGCAGAACTTGAACTAAATCACGACGTATTTCTAATCCTGGTTCCGAAATTCCATGGACCATAAGGACTATCGAGTCATCGCATTTGTTCATATAATCAGAATCTTTTTCTCCAAATGATCTGACACGTGGCCTTGTATCGTCATTTTTACCCGAATCCATTTGATGGGATCCACTCATTCGTGACTGAGATAAAGAAGCTATACTATTACTTCTTGATACCATTAATCTTTCATCACTTTCAGATAATTTATTTTGAAGAGATTTACCGTCACTCGTTTGCTCGTGAAGTCTTAAATAAAAAACATTTTTTTGTGAATTATTTTCACGATAAACAAACATATTTGTGCGATTATTTACAGAAAAACGATTCAATACAACTTGAAGGGCCTTAATACCACGCGATAGTCCTGATCGTCCTGGTCCAGTTTTTAATCGTGGATGTAAACAAAAAGTTTCTTCCCACATTACTGAACATCTAAACATACCAGGTGTATTAACAAGTGAATCATGTTTTACTACTGATCCTGAATCGTTAAATAAATCGCTTCGTATCGAATGATCGTCATGTGAATCTGGTTCTAATAAAATATCACAATTACGTGTGTCATGGAGATTTTCCAATAATAAATATTGATTAACTTGACGACATATGGTTGCTATTTGTGAAACTACCTGTTTTTGTACTTGTCTATAACAATCGACTTCTAATGATGCCATTTCTAAAAAACGACAATGAAAATAAACATCAACATGATTACGACGTACTTGTAAAATTAACCAAAAATTTGGCAGTGATTCTCGGCGTTTGTCTAAATCAACAAGCCAATAACAATCATCCTCTGAATCACTACTGTCACCATCGTATCCATCATCTGTTCCGGGGTGTCCTTCTCCGATGCTAGATACTTCTGATTGACAACCAGGTAATTCACCAGAATCTTGTCTACTTGTATAATAATAATTATTATTATCTTGTAGGCAATCTGAAGAATCTATATCTGGTTTAATTGCCGATGAATTTTCTTCATCATCCTTATTATTTGTGTCAGAGTTATCGTTTATTTCAATGTAATTACTAACTAAATTATCGTCTTTAACAAAATATAAATATTCCTTCAATTGTTTAATCGTATACCGAGTAATCTTCATTTTGATAAGTTCTTCATAAAATTTCGGTGCATTATTTGCTGATGAAAATACAAAATGCAACGACACTTTATCAAAATGACAACTGGTTCGTCCATTGGAGTCAGCGACATGTCGAACAACAAAATGTAATATTTCTTCTGTTGGTGGATTTACATCAAGAAGCGCTGTAACTATTTCATCTTTCAGTAACCACTCAATTTCATTGGTCAGAGTTGAAATTGCGTGATGTTGACAAGGTGGAAGATGAGATATTCTTTCTTTAACAGGCTCATTATCTAGTACGTTATCATTTTCTGGATAACTTTCACTGTCGGTACTAATACTACCAGTTGAAGATGAACTGCAGTAAGATGTTGATTTAGCTTTAATATCATTTTCAATACTAACTTCCAAAATATCTTTAGGTAAATATAAACAAATAATATCTAATGTAATTTTAATATTTTCAAAGTCAATATTATCAAAATCGCTCAATAATTGTTCTAAGTCAGAAAAAAAACAGGTTGGTAATGATTTAACAGGAATACTTAAAAAGTTTGAGCCAGAGTGTATAGAAGGGTGTATAGTACAACTTAATTGTAAAAATAATGGTTGTTCCTTAATATTATTTTCATCTTCATGTAAATCACTGATAAGTGATTCAGTCGAATCATAAACTTGTAATTTTTTATTTTTACTACTTGGCCAAGTTGCATTTAATGATATATTATTTTTACCAATATTATTATCTACTTGACAGTCTATAGTTTCTGAATGAAATATAAAATTTAAATCATCATCACTGTCAGAGCGATGAAATTCCATTGAGTCTATTCTTTCTGAGTGATGTGATGGTGAAAAATAATAAAATTCTGGATGAGCTGGAACTGGCTTGAAAGCACACGTTATTATTTTTTTAAATTTATCTCTTATTAAATTATGTAATTGCCCAAATTCCGCACACGTAGTACTATGACATTTTTCAATAGCTTTCGCCTCGTCAAGTTTTGATGATAAATTATTGAAATGCTTACAAACAGTCTTCAGATAATTTGTTATATTTATTTCAATAAGTGACTCTTCACACTGCTCAACTGCAGCTTCCATATCTTCATAAGAAAGTCTAAGTTGAAGAGCTAGCGATTTATATACTGCTACTACATAACAGTGACAGTGGGCTAAAGTTAATAGTTTACAATGTTCTAATAAACTACGCTGATCTATAAAAATAAATTATAAAATAGTATTAATTTTCTAAAATTATTATGTTCAATAACATTTTAATAACCAAAACATTACCATTTGATAAATTTTCTGAATCCTCGCTCTTTGGCTCTGGAGAAGCTGAATCATTTGGTGGTTTGAGATTTATGAAATCCTCGTGTAATTGTTGACCGATAGTAAATGTATTATTTTGATAAATATCTTTTGACTTGGGTGTTTTTAATTTCCCTATTAGTACTTCAATTAACAAAGCTAAAGAACAATCATAAACGTATATAGGAAATATTAACCCGGCTTTTACTCCGGTTGACGACATACGTCTTCGTCTTTCGATTTTTGGTGTACTTTCAGCGGTAGTTGTACGACTAGATAAATTTGATTCAAAGTCAATCATGCGTAAATTCGAAGAAATTTCTAATTTTTTAGGACTGCCAATTAAAGAAGACGTTATTTGATCATTACTAGTTGATGAAGCTGGTTGTGATAATACATCTAACTTTTCTATCGATTTGTCACGCGAATGATTTCGTGTTATCGCGGTAGGAGATCCGAGACTTCTTACATCTTTTTCCGTCGCCGGTAAAATTGATATGATTATATGTGCTACATTTACACCTTTAATAAAACAACGCCATCGAATATTTTTCAACTGCTTATCATCTGAAAAATATATTATTAATAAAATATTTTGATACATAGTATGTAACTATTTTCATTTACTTGTAATTTTATATAATAAATGTTAATACCTGAACTAATAGAAAATGGAAGTGGTCGACCGTCTTCACGTGACCTACTAATAAGCATTTCTGTGAATTTTTGTGATTCCAAGGTACTTAATATAAGTTCTTTGTTATCAAGTTTTTTCATTTGATCCATTAAGCATTCAATTAAGATATTGTTGGTATCTTCATTAGTTCCATCAGGATTCTCATCAGCAAACATTGAAAATAATAATTCAGCTTGTTGACATTTTGACAAAACATTAATCATATCAAAATTAAAAATCTTTGAATGAATTTTTTCATCAGGCTGATCGTCGGATAAGATTTTAGAGTGTGTACAATTTGATACTGATATTTGTCGTGCAATTTTGTGCGAATTAGCCAGGGCATACTGCGATAATTGATGTTGATATCCATTAGCTATTAAATTTTTGGTATCACGAGGTTCTACTTGTGTTAGCATAATCAAATGTTCTAATGTTAGTAATGCATTAAAACACTCTTCATCAACTTGAGCAATCTGTAAAATAGAAAGGGGATGTTTTTTTTTTTACTTTTTTTTTTTTTTATTTTATTAACAATAAAAATAATCATTTTACAATAATTATGTAACGTTTGGTCATATAATCGGAATTAAATTAAAGCACATTTTATAAAATAAAAATAATACAGAATTTAATAATAGAGAATGGTGTTTTTGAGGCGACCGGAATAAGTTGGAGGAGTTGAATCTCGCTTTTAAACCAAGCGTAGAGACCACTTCTCCACTTGAACCATGACGCCTTGATCAAAGATATCATTTTTGTAATTATTTATCAACAAAAAAATGCTAAAAACTTGGAAGAGAGAAGAACCATGAAGACAAAAGAATCGATGACAGGTTCCGAACGATCTTGAGTTGGAAGAAATAGATCTGGCAAGATCCCAAAATTCCTCACTGCCTAGATCCTCACTTCCAACTCGAGACCATACGGTGATTGTAGTCTCAAACTACAGAAATGATTTCTATTCACGTCAATCAACCAATTCAATAAATTCATTATTAAATAATGGTTGTAAAAAAATTTTTGGTCATTAATTGAAATCAATAAATAAACACTAAATAAAATATAGTTTTTGACACTTTATGGTAGTACACAGCACTAAACTAACAATTACTATTATTCGAAACACTATCAATTTTATAAAAATAATTATTATGATTTATTTAAGAGATGTTTTTCGCATGTCTACTTCTTTTAGACTAAAGTACTGTGAAGCAGTAGAGAATAAGGGAATACGTGATAACTCGTTGAAAAAAAGATAATCCAGGTACTAACAGGCCCAGAGTATACTGTGGGCCTCATATATACCCAGAGACAACTGATACGAAACCCCGTCCTAAGTTTTTCATCGATATCTGAGCCCCGCCCTGATAACGATAACGATATCAATTGATAGAAACCACCAATACACCCCTAATACGATTAAAAATTCTGCGTATTTTTAATTAAAGTTTAATAATTATTATTATTAAATTTATATAATGTTTCTTTGAAAAATTAAAAAAAAAACTCGAGATCTTTTTTAGTTTACGAATTTGTTCTACTTAGTAAGACTTGTCTCAAACAATCTGACTCATCGTCATCACCTCCACCTTAGGTATAACGAAAATGTCAAGTGGAGGGAATGATAAGACAATAGAAATAGAAGTTTTATTTGAAGATATAAAAAAATTTTTAAGTTTACAACATAATATAATTATTTTATTATACATTAGTTATTTTTATGAAAATAGATAAAAAAAACTTGCTAGCAACTTTTTAAAAGAAATAGATGTTATAATAAAATGTATTATTAAATTAAATTTTGAAAATTATCTAAGTATTTTTTTTTTTTTTTTTTTTTTTTACGTATAAGAAAAATACAAAATTTTTTTTTATAAATCATGATCAATAGCTTTTTGAAGTGTCATTAATAAAGTAATAAGTCATTAAACGTTAATTAGATAAAAATTAAACATTAAAACTATTTCCTGAGGAAATTGATGACCTACAACGATTTAAAATAATGAATTTTATTTCAACATTTAAAATAAAACTGTTTTATGATTGATGTAGAATTTATTGACAATTAAAATCAACGTAGTAGAAGAAAAAGACTACGCAATCTTTCCATGATATCTTTGACCAATGTTTGCTGTATGATAAAACTCTATGACAAAATAAACCACTTCAGAAAGTGCTGCCCAGGATAAATTTTTTATGTTACTGATACGAAATATTATCAAGAATTCTTAAAGATATCATAATACCAAAGTGTTAATTCGTAAAGGAAAAAATTATTAAAAAATAATATATTAGTATGCTAGGATACTTAAATTGACGCTAGATAATTATCACGTGCGTTCTATTTAATGTCAACCATAAAGTCAGGAAGATCGAACCAAGAGAGTTGTTAAAACTACTGTTAAATCATGAAGTCAATCTGATTTCAATTCAACCGCTAGTTTATATGTTATCTATTGATGTCTGTGCAAGTATTGATCCTAGATATCTTATCAGATACAAGAGGTTTTTGAGAATATGAGAATGTCTTATCAATTTCCGACTAGCAACATGACCAAACGTGACATAGCAGCAAGTGTATATGTATTTTTTTCTTATATTTATCTTTATCTTTTAATTATATTGTTAACTTTCATTATGTACCAAAGACAATTTACGTAAAATAAAAACGCTTACCGCATTTGATAATTCATGATACAATAAAGAACTCATATATGAAGCAGTAGGATGACCAGGTAATTTTACTTGTCCGCATTGAGGCTCTATCCATATTTCAGTAACAATTTGATAATCTCCTGTACTTTCATTTTCTTCTGTAAATCCTTCTCCATCTCCTGTTCCTATTAAATAATACATTGATTTTTAACGATAACAATATACACATTTTTTATCATATTTATTTTTTAACTCTTTGACTAATTTAATCAGATTTACTTTTTTAGTTAGATTATAGGTTTTATTTTTTATCTTAAATGATAAATTTCATAAGCAAACGTAAAGCCTTGACGATTTATAATTTTCTCGTCATCATTATTTAAAAATTCTACTTAATGTCTTCATACAATAATTTTTTTTTTATTCTATAAGCAAATTAATTTTTATTTTTTAATATAAGAAAATTTACTTATTAAGTTATAGATAGTAAAAATAAAACTTTTTTTTAAATAAAATAAAATTTAGTTAATTTTTTTTTTTTTTATTTATTTCTATAAACTATAATATTTCAGATATAAAATAAATTGTGTTGTAAAATTGATAAATCGACAATTTATCAATTATCAAATCAAACAGGCCTTAGATACTTATTTAATACCTATTGACTATTCACCTGTTACATGTTAGATAATCATTATTTATTTTCTTTCTAATATCTCGTAGTATGCATATGGATAAATTGACATGTTCAGAAAAAAAAGTTTACAAACTATTTTTAGAAATCATTGCATGTAATAAATGATTTGAAATATAGTTTTTTACTGTGACGTAGTTAAATAAAAAAACTTTAGTAAATTTAATGAAAATACCTGGATCTGTGTCTTCTTCTGACTCACTATTTCGTTCTAATGTTGGGTTAGTAATTGTGTGAGGAGGAAAAATAATGTATTGGATAATACAAGGATAGAAATCATCTTTTAAACCTTGCATTTGTACTTCTAAAACCATATTGATGATTCCAGCGGTAGAATATGAAAAATTAAATCCCTCAGTTAATCTCATTCTAAAATAATAAACACAGAGTAAAAATTAATAATAAAAATTTTCTAATAAAAAACTTTTCTCATTTTTTGAGAAAAAAAAATCAATTAAAAACTTGATATAAAATAAAAATTAATTGAGCATGATAAAATAAATAAGCTAAATAACTTACTTAGTTATTGTCGAAAGTATCCTAGCTATCGCAGTAATATTCAGTCTTGGCATATTTATTCCAGGGATAGTTTGTATAATTGGTTTTTTAACATTCCACAGCCATCGATTATGATGCAAATATCTAGATAATGTCGTAGTTAGAATTCCACCTGGAATTTGAGTAGCTTTAAGAGACATTGATTGTGCTCCATCAAAATTCACAGCAATTGTACTTAAATCTATTGGTAAACGTTCATATCTAATTAAAATTTTTTCTAAAGCTTTATGTATAATTGTACAACAAGGAGAAGTTTCTCGTTGCTCCATTGGTCGATTCGGTAATGTTAACTTGGACAATTTATCAACTAAATCTGTTACAACATTGTGACGTATTGCACCCTCTGTACCACCAGCAAAAGCAACATTCAATACAACACATAGAGCTTTACAATTAATTCTGATTACAGAAAACGAGACAGGTGGCTTTTCAATTTCTTTTTGTATAAATTTAACATATGTATGATTTTCTACTAGTACAAAGGTTGCCCAGTTTTTTAGCATTGCATAAAGTACTACAGCAGCTTGTCTGTATTGAACACATTGAAAGCGTCCACTTTGGTTCGCTTGATGAAGATATTTAGGCAAGGGTCGATCGTGAGCTAAAATAAGTGTAACACGTTGTGAATGCATCCAACGGGCCCATTGATTTGAATCTAAAGATGCAACAGGTTGCCAGATTTTTCCAAATTGATGATATGCCGAGTCACTAAGTTGAATTGTTGTAGCTTGAGGATAAGCTGATAAATTGAATACCGGCATACCACTTTTTATTGTATCAGGTACATTATACCAAGTCCAATCTGGTTCAAGAAACCAACTAAAATGTTCAAGCATATTATTACTCTCTGTTAATGCTGATAAAGTTGCCCAAAATCTTGACACAACACTCTGACGATACGGTGATTTTAATGGTTTCTTCGATGTACACGTGATATCATGAAGAAATTCATACGTTGCTTCTACTGTTATTGTGTATTGTATTTTATTGTATGTAACTAATGATTGACGTGGCCATGGACAACATACACAGTATTCAAGGAAGACATTTATTTTCCACGGAAGTATAAAATAAACTTCAAGACAACCATCTCTCATTGAAAATTTTTTTATTAGATATCCGTCTCGTAATCGACAGCATAAAAGGCTACTCAATGTGCATGTAACTTTATCCTCAATTAATTTTTTTCGCAACAATTGTATTTGTTGGTTTCCATAAAATAGCCCATTTTTCGTAAACCAATAATTAGACCGATGAATATTGCTAGTTGATTCAGTTCGATACAATCTCCAACATAAGAAGTTTTCATGATAAACATTAATTTGTGAATCAGAAATTGATGGTTCTGGCATAAATGTCATATAACAACCTAAAGTCGCTGTTGCGATGAAACATAAGAGATCTGGGTATGCAACTAATCCATTAGCGCAGTGTGGATGATATGCACTACCCAAGTGTATAAAACTACAAGCAACTGTTGACACTCGAAATTGCTGTACTATTGAATCTAATACGTGGATATCAGTAGTTGCAAGTATACCATCAGTTATAATAATTAGATCTAAAAAAAAAAAAAAAAAAAAGTTAAATGCATTTTTATTTATATTTTTTTGAAGATTGAAATAAGTTATCGATTGTCTAATTAGCAATTTGTCTTCTTATTTTTTAGAGGGTGATTTCTTTAACATTTTGATGTAGCCATAATCGAATTACAAATTATTTGAATGATTCAAACCTAAATACTATATCTCTACTAGATAATAATGATATTAAATGGTTTTTTAAAGTGATAATAAATTTTAAACTAATTGTTTTTTTCGTACAAATAGAAGATTCTTTAAAATGGAGTTAGACAATTTGTTAATTAGAACGTCGTTATGTAATATCTAATAATTATCTCACGTGCGCAACTATTCTCTGGCAATAGAGCAACGGCAAGTAATCCATATCGTAACATATTTATAAAAGTTGTTTCAGGAGAAAGTATTGATAAATTTCCTATAGAGTTACTAATATTAGAACAAACTCCAGAAGTTCGCTCTTCAAAAAGTGCATTGACCATTCCATTATTGTCAGGACGGAAAATTTCTTGTTGCTGATAAACCATACCAGTAACATGAGCAATTCGTTCTTCTAATGAAATCAATTGTTTTTCTATAACTTTCATGAGGTCCGCAATATTTGTTGTATTTACAAGCCATCCTTGGATTATTATTTTTTGAGCCGAATTTGTTAAAAATGGAGTATGAGCTATTACAGTTACATAAACTTCTGGTTGAAGAATTATTTTACTTCCTGGAATAGGAAACTGTTTTGCGCATTTATTAAACAACATGTTTTTAAATAATAATTATTTTCAGATAAAAGTATAAGAATTACACAACTTACAGGTTTTGAAATGTTTTCTAAAAATTCTTTTGTTGCTGTACAAACTTCGTCTAATACTATTGCACCACGCTGAATATCCTATTGACAATAAGCAATTGTATTTTTTTAATAGTAAAATAAGTTAAAGTTATTTTTATAATAAAAATATTGATATATAAATGACTTACAATAGTACCAAGTGATGGACTAAGATCTAAACAAACAACCATTCGGTATTTATGAGCAAGAAATATGACAGAAGTTGATGAAGTAACTCGATATTGGTACAAATGACTGTTGTCATCATCCCATGATGTTGGACAATTTGAAGGAACAATAGATATTACTTCTAATTCTTGTATATCATCGTTATCACAATCTGGTAATTTTATATTTATTATTTTATCCAAATGATCTAAAATCCATTGGGCCCGAACGTTTCGTGATATAGGAAAACCATTTTTCATTAACAAGAATACTTTATCAGCTTCGAGGACAACTTTTTCCTAAAAAAAAAATTGTTTTTATTCTAATAATCACATCATAATTATAACTAATACGATCTAAGTATAATTACAATAAAAATATTTTGATAAATTTAATTATACCTCACTTTCAAAACTATCCATTGTAGATAATTATCATATTATAATTAGTAGTTAATGATAAAAATTAATTTATACAATATTTATATTTTATCAAAAATGTTATAAATATATTTTTTTGTTTATTTAACACTGATAAAAACAGAAAATTTAAACAGGTACTGTACATTAATTTTGAAAAATAAATAACAAAACGACATTTGTTTATGCACAAGTGCGGTCAAAGGTTATTATTATTAATAACATATTTTTATCCACATGTACAAATTTTATTTACGTTTCAATATAAATAATAATAATAGAAAATAAAAACACACATGGTTGGTTATAATCACCATTTCTCGCAATAAAAAATAACATAAGCGCCTCTTGTGACCGTCTTTGACATTTTCAATCTAACCTGGATAAGTCTTCAATGTTTATGTTTATATTTTTTTCTTTTTAAGAGTGTATTAAAATTACAAAAAAAAAATTTCTAAACTATTTTTCTCAAATGAAGTCCTAAACAAGTGAGATGTTAATAAAAAACAGTATTTTATTTTGAATTATAGATTTATTATTTAAATATCCCTGCATCCACTATCCACATGGGTAACTAACTTTATATAAATGTAAGTACTTATATGTATGCATAAGTTTTTACGTGAGAAGGTAGGTAACAATGGCGATGATTTACAATGTGTAGGTGTACACACATATGTGAATTTATTTGTTTATATAGTGTCTTAAATTCGTGAAAGTATGGTACACAATTACAGATATAAGTTCATGACTATGTGTGTTATGTATTTAGCGACGGAAGGGCAGCACTTGTCGGGAAAAATCGATTAAACGTAAAAGTACTGGTGGATAAAACGTCGCCTAGTTCACGTTGTTTCATGATCACTAGAAGATCAGAAGCAGAGCAGCATCAAGCAGCATCAGGAGGCCAGCGGATGGCGACTTCTGTCGTCCGATTTTTCATTAATTTTTGTGAAAAATTTTTTTTTTCATAATTCAGTGTATATTTTATAATATATATTAAAGATTGTTACAAGTTTTCAACACGAAAAGTTATTATTTTATAAATAAAAATGTAATGTTACTATAAAACTTGATATTTAATTGATAAATACTTGAAATTAAATTAATATTGTGAAATTTAACGAATTTTTTTTTTGTTTTTTGTTTTTTTTTTTTTTTTTTTCAGTGTACAATATTTATCAGTGTGGTGATTCAGATTGAACCCCAATCTTTTATGAGTCTGTGGATTTAACATCAATTTCTATGACATCCGGCAAGGAAACGATGGGGTAGCTTTAATTTTTTCTTTTATTGTCCATGATTTCATATAGAATTTAAATTAAGTTATAAATAGTTTTAATTATACAAAAATAAAAGTAAAATTATTTATTAATTATGATAGAATAGTTAATTAATTTTTTTTCCATTGATTATTTTCATTTGATAACACAATAATTTATTCAAGTGAAAATATATATACGTCGATTAAATGAAAGTAACGTACATATATATAGTTTGTAATAATTGTACTATGTATTTATAGTAAAGAGATTGATTAATAATCGAGTAACAAGTTTCATTTTTTTTTATTCTATTAGGGTTATCATTCAAACATTTTTATATAATTTATACTGTTAAAAATTAATTGAATAATTAAAAAAAAAAACCATCCGCTATTTTTTTAACGGATTATAATGTATATTAATTTTTTTTTTTTTTTTAGTGAACAACCAATTTTTACATGCAAAGCGCATGTATTCCACATAGACCCAAAAACCAAGAGGTCGTGGGTTTCAGCATCTACAGCTGCTGTGTCTGTATCTTTCTTTTACGATTCAACCAGAAGTTTATACAGAATTATTTCTGTCGAAGGGACAAAGGTAAAAATAAACCATTTGTATAAGTTATTGAATTTTTATGGCTCCAGACAACTTTTTTGATCTGATTTTTTCTTTACTGATAAAATTTTTATAATTTTTTCAGGCGGTTATAAATAGCACAATTACTCCAAACATGACATTTACTAAAACTTCACAAAAATTTGGCCAATGGTCGGATGTGAGAGCCAACACTGTTTATGGTTTAGGTTTTTCATCAGAAGCTGAATTAGGAAAGGTTTGTAAATTTAGAATGCTATTGAATATTTAAAAGTCAATGCTCTTATTTTAGAATCGTAATAACAACTTAAATTTGATTCATAAAATAACAATAAAATCATAATTCATAATGCTTATTATTTGAAGCAAATTTAGAATGATTATTTAATTTGTAATCTTTATTTTTAAATTTCTCTGAATTTCAGTTATTAATTTTATCGACGCGTAAAATAAAAAGTAAAAGATATTATACGTATTCAAATATATATTTTTAAACGGTAGTATGTGAGAAAAGCATAAAATATTAAAAATAAAAATCACTAATACGTATTTTCTTTTTAATTAGGAGCTTTAAATTTTACGAACGGTTGAATTTTTAATTTTATTTTATTCTTTCAAATTTGTTCAATAATATGCAATTTAGTCTTTATGATTTTTTACTATTTCTTTAATTAATCTAACTTTTAACTCTTATATGTGATCATTTATATTAAAATATTTACTTACATTAGTTCAGTAAATAATTTCCCATTTTTTTTTTTTGTTTAGTTCATTGAAAAATTTCATGAAGTCAAAGAAGCTACTAAAGTAGCTGGGGCCAAATTGCAATCAAATAGCTCTTCAGTAACCCCATCAACTAGTGCAAATGTCAGTCCAATCACTCAACGTTCTTGTATGCCTTCATCAGAACAAGATTTAATAGACCCTCCTAATTCCTCGATGATTAATTCAAATACATCGGCTTCAAACAATCCAAACCCAAATACAAGTATGATTTCTGCGCAAAATAGTGCATCTTCAGTCAGTAGTAGCCCTTTACCTGGAAATTGTCAATCTAAAGTTGATGAAGAGTTGAAAAATGCAATTCATGCAAGGTCTCAACAAATAGCTTTGGCTCAACAACAGAGTATTGAAAGTCCACAGCATCAAGGAAAATCAGGGCAACTTAGTTCTAATCAAGTCAATCAATCATCTGAATTGCAATTAAAATATGAAAATGATAGACTTAAACTTGCTCTTGCTCAGAGTTCTGCTAATGCCAAGAAATGGGAGGTAATCTATCTGTCTTTAATATAATCTCGTGTTAACTTTATAAATAAAATATATTAATTTCTTATCTTTAATTGTAGGTTGAATTAGCGATGCTCAAAACAAATAATACTAGGTTAACGAGTGCATTGCAAGAGTCCACAGCTAACGTTGACGAATGGAAGCGACAGTTACAAATGTATAAAGAAGAAAATGCTCGAATTAAAGCAAGGTACACCGATTTAGAAAATGGAAAAATATCTGAGGGTAACAGTGAAGCTCTGAAATTAAGAGTTGAAGCATTGGAAAATGAATTAAGAACCCGTAATGATGAGCTAAAAGCTATGACTATGACTGCAAAAAATAAAGATTTTATTGTAAGTAATAAAAAAAATTTTTTATGTCAAACAAATAATATTCAATTAAAATTTTTGAATACTTAACATTTCAGAGCTTGCAAAAAGAAAACAATGAACTTCGTCATACATTAAGCGTGGTTCACGAACAATTAGAGCTTGCGTTAAGTTCAAATAAAGTTCAAAAACAAAACTTGGAAACGTTGAACTCTCGATTGGCTGGTTATATTCAAGACTTAGCTACAGTGCATCGAGAAATTACGAACACACTGCAAACTTAAGTACAATAATTTTTATTATCTACTTTTTGTAACGCAGGGCGTAACGACCCGATGATTAACAAACTAACTCGGGTAATCTAATTTTTAAATTCAAAAAAATTATTCAACAAAAAAAAACAATCAATAAAAAGAAGGGCCATGTTCCAAAAAAAAATACATATCTTGTAGTAGACTCTCTCCAACATATTTCAATTGTGCCACATTAAAATTTTTTTATTTAATGAATCTTATACACATTAGATTTTTTATGATTATTTTAATCTTTAACTAGGAAAAAAAACTCAACAGAGCGACTGTATTTTATTTTTATTTTTACTTTTTATTGATAAAAGTATAGATTCTTTTACAAGAACTCATTATTATCGTTGCCAAGCACAAATGCCATAATTGTATAAATGTATTTAGTGTAAAAGTATAATTGATCGTGTTTAATTGATAATATAGATATTATTTTTTAATAAGACTGAATTTTTTTTAGACTATTAGCTTATATTATTTAAACTCATTCGCTTCCAAAACTGAAAATGAAAGAGCTTAAAAAAACTAAGTGTGGAGGAGTTATTATACATATCAATAAAATAATTGATATGTACTCGTTAAAAATGTGTCCGTTTTTTTGGAGCCCGTCCCTTTAATCGATAAAAAAAATTAATAAATTGATGGTGATGTACATCATACGCACCTCAATTGAATGCACAATTGCAATTAGTAAAAATTAGGTAAATAGCATTTAAAAAAAAAAAATAAAAATAAATAAATTTTCAATTTGATGAAATTATTTGTTTCAATATAATGGTGACCTAGACATTTAGAATTGTTCTTTTATTTATTCTGATGAATCATTGATATATTCATATATGAATCATTGATATATTATACATGATATTATACTTAAATATATAAAATTGAATTTGGTTCATCTGAAAAAAAAAAAATGGCTGATCATTATTATTGAAATAAATATATTGATTGTAAATTAAAAATGTTGTTTAAACTATCAAAACATCGATAATATTTTACTTTTATGACGATTTATTTGTATTTTGTTGAATTTTATACTAATAACGGTATTAAGTAGAATTATTTATAACAAAAAATGTGCATTTATCTACGTAGAAGATTTCACATAAATTTATGTAAACAAATTATTTATTGGGTGGCTAATAAAATAAATGTAAATTATCTTTGTTGAGGTTGAGTTTAAATCGGTCAATAAAATAATATGATCGCACAATTTTGGCCAATTTGCACACATTCAAATACTCGCAATAACAATAATGATTTGAATCTGTTAAACACGACAAGCTAATTAATTTTATGTCGACGATATTTTTTATTTACGTGGAAACATAACAGACTTAAATTAGTTAAACTAATTTTTCAATCTGAAATATTTAAAAATTATTACCTCAATCAGTGCGTTACAATTAAGGTATATATCTCAATTAATAAATTAATCACAATTTCTATTGTTTATATAAAATATTTCAAGTAAATGATTTTGTTAATATGTTAAGCATTTATAATATTCAAATTATAATTAATTACAAAGACTAATTACTAAGATAACTAATCATTAGTTTTTAAATAAATAAAACTAAAATTTCTAAGCTTCTTATTAAATTAAACTTTTGGACAAAAATAGTTTGCGTTTAGCATCAGCGTTGAATAGTATTTAATTCGTATAAAGAATAATTATATTCTATCGTTTTTCTACAGAATATCAATCATAGTATTAAATCGAAAGTTAACAAAATTTTACATACAAACTCGCAGAGTTAGTTATAATTAAAATTAATTATTTTTTAAAACTTGAATTAACGTTTTTAACGACAGTTAATAAACAAAGACTATTTAAATATTATCATTTCTTCTTTTGGTATTGAATTTTATCAATTTAATTAAAAATAGCTATATCAACAGTCTTGTTTTATAGGTCACTTTTCTATAAATGTATGATACAAAATAAGTTTAATAATACTTATAACAATACCCTAATAAGTGTTGATTTATTATTAATTATTAAAGTTTAAACTTTTTATAAAAAATTATAAACTATAAATATGTAGAGTAGGATATTAAACTTTTCTAAGAATGTTGATTGAGATATTTACCTTAGGTGAATTTTGCACATAGGCTTGAATAATGATTTCTGTATTGCTATATTAGTTTACTGTAACTGTTAATATTTTATTGCGATCAACAATATATTAAATGTATGATCTCAAGAAATAGCAGAGATAAAGAATTTGGTTCTTTTTATAAAAAAATATGACGTAATAGAATTTAAAAGCGAACTTTTTGTTTGCGTATAATATGTTTTATTGACTTAAAAATCTATTGAAATTATACACGCCATATTTTTAAGTATGAAGTCGACAGAAGAATGTTAATATCAAATTAATAATTTTTACTCATATATTAAGGTAATCTTAAAGCTGAGAGTAGTTAAAAAATTTTATACTTTATTATTTACTTATAATAAAATTTTTTAAAATTGTACGTATATCAATAGCAATCCATTTATTATAGAAGTCAAGTTTAAAATTATATACAACAAAAGGAATAATATAAGCAACAGGATTACCTTAATCATATTTATATTGTTAGTAATTTTTTTTTTATTATTAATAATTTTTTAATAATTTTCGATTTATTAAGGAAAATACTCATTTAATGTAAAAGATCATTTAAAAAATTATTTCGTATGTGCAATCCATTGCATTTAGTCATGAGTTAAATGAGATACGGGAAATCTACTCAATTTTTTTTACTAATACTAATAAATAAGGTAAAAAAATTTACCGCTAAAATGACATAATTTATACTGTATTTTACATAATTATGATTTATAATAGTTGTTTTATAAATTAATATTAAGGTCGTTACATGACGTTTTTACATTAACAAAAACAATAAAATTAAAAAAAAATAATCATTGTCGAGATACCAAATATCTTCCTTGGAAAGAAATAATAAGTCATGTATTTAAAATTTTATATAAATATTTTATGCGTTTTTAATCTTTAAACTAATAGATCATTTTTTAATAATAAAATACTTTGTATAATGCAACAATTAATCAATGTTATTATATACGACGGTAATTTGCTTTCATATGAAATTGTGTTTTGTTGAATTATAATAATTTTAATTATAGCTAATATTATTATGTTTGTGTATTAGAAAAAAATATTGTTTTCATGCGTCTGCAGTGAAATAATTGTTTGTTTGAAATATATGATCGGTACAAACTGAACAAGCTTTAGTAATAGAGCTTGTAAGAAATGACCGTTTTCTTATATTGAGATTGGAATATGAGTGATTCAATAATTAAATTAATATATTAATTAATAATAACTCCATTCACGGAAATTGTGTATGTTTCTAAAGCGAAAAAATTGAATTAAATAAAAACAGCGCAGGACTCGTAGTGAACGAACAAAAGTTAATGCAAAAAATAAAAATAAAAGTTAAAGTAAAAACCGTAATTTTTAGAGTATAATTATATTGTACTCGATACGGTAAAAAAATTAAATAAAGTTGGCAATATACTTGAAAATATGTTTTTTAAAAATTTTTTTTTTAAACTTAACTATTATTTAAGTTTAAAATTATTTCAAGAATATATTAAAAGTTAACAAACATTTTCTCGTTTTAAAATTTATTATTAGTGTAAAAGTATTTTTCACAAATGAGTTACTTTATGACATACTACATTTTAAGCTTTGAGATCATTGAAAAAAAAAAAAAAAAAAAAAAAAAAAAAAAAAAATTTATAGATTTATAGAAAAGTTTTTGATAATAGAGAATATAAATTTCTGTTTTCTATATTTCACAGCCTTTTTAAACATTCTCTTAACATCAACAATTGTTATTGAAATACAAGAAGTTTAAAATTGGACGAAAAATTGTGAAAATTTGTTAGCAGTAAAGCCCTGTACCTTGATTTTCAACTAAACATTTTTTAACATAGTCATATTGTTTTTCATTGAGTTGCTTACAAACAGGATCTTGTTCAAATTGATCAAGAGTGCCAGCTCCAGCTACATAGCCATTCAATCTTGTAGATAATGGTGTATGAAGATCAGCAGCTGTTGCGATGCCAAGGGATTGAACGAGATAAGTGTGTAATTGCAAACGATATTTTTGATGATAGCTACAAAAATACAATTATTATAGCATAATTTCAGTTTACTTTATCAAAAAAAAAATTGAAGTAATAAAAAATGTTTACTCTTCAGCCGGATAAAATCTGTCGAAATTTTTTATCTGTGTAGTAAAATTTTTTCCCTGTTTGTTTTGTTCCTCAGAAAGAGACTTCTCTGCCTCTATTTTCTGTTCATCGTCGTGGTAGAGAATTAACGAGGCGTACTGGGCTTTTATTTTTTTGGTCAGTCCATATTCATGATTATTCCAAAATAAACTCAATAATTGAGAAAAAGATGCTGTTTTCGGATCATATTCAATCTCAACAACTTCCGTATGATCACCACTAGAAAATATTGAATTTTGTTTTTATAAATCAAGTCAACATTACAATGTAAAATTATGCAGTACAAGTGAAAATAGATATATATCATACATGTTTTTGTATGTCGGAGATGGCTTGGTGCCACCGGCATATCCAACACGTGTTCTTGTTACACCGGGAACCACTCCAAAAAGAGCGTCACATGCCCAAAAACAACCCATTCCAAACGTTGCCTTCTTTAATGCTTCTGATTGACCCGGCATTTTCTTTTTTTTTTTTAAACAAACGTGTTTCCAATTTTTAATCTAGAAGGATTAAAACACAAAAAACGAAGAATTGTAACAAAAATATAATTTTAACTCTAAAAGATTGGATATAATTTTTTGTTATAAAAAAATTGTCATACCTAGAATTGTCGAAAGTCCAGAATTTGAATAATTAATGAAAGGTCAATGTCGAAATTAGAAAAGCTAATGGAAGTAGCCCAAAATGGTGATGCTGGTGATAGCTAAAATTAGCCAATTAAATACTTGGCTTGAACTATTGATGTAATACACTCACTAGGATATCTACTAAATTGTCAGCTTTTATATTATGTCCGGTTAAAAGACTTGATGATATCCCCTCTATTTTCTACAATTCGCCGGATCACTCTATTCCACTGTTCGACTGCGTAGTAAGTTGAGGCTGGAAACATATATATGGTAGCATACCAAGGTCAAGAGAAAATTCATAATATTTGATTGGCGATGAATTGAAATTCTCGTTGAAGATTTATAACATAGTAATTTATTATATAAGTTATTATTAATTTAAATCTTTAGACAAGTAAAAGAATATTGATGGTATGAATAATTTTTAAAATATATTTCAGTACATTACAAGATTACATCATACTGTGAAAATTATCTGTCATAATTAATTATACTGATAATAGAACTAGTTTATAAATTACATCTATACGTTTGATATTTTTCTTTTGGTTCAATAACAATTTTAATTTATATACTCCTTTTTAATTATTTTAATTTAAAAAAAAAAATTTTTGTAGGTGATAATTATCAAAATTTTGATTTTCGTACATTCAAAAAAAATTTTTCATCTGAGTACTGAAATTAAAAATTTTTTTTTTACTTTAAAGCTCTTGAAATTTTTTTCGTCAATTTATTTTTAATGGCTTTTGCGTTAAGTAAGGTAATAAGAAAAGATCAAATACTTTAAATCTACTAAAATTTATTAAATATCTTTTATAAATAAAAAAAATAAAAAAAACCCAATTTAGAACAACGTAATTAAAAAATTAAAAACTTGAAATTTTTTTATGATTTATAATTTTTTTTGCAACGTTGTTTTTATTAGGCTTTTTTTTTATCAATTATCATCTATTTTTCGAGCAGACATAAAAAAATATTTATTTTATTTATAACATTTTTTTATGTTAATTTTTTTATAATTGACTATAAAAATTAAATTACAAACAAGAATTATTATCCGGTCAATGACTTTAAAGTCAAATATTTTTCACTAATCTTGTTTTTTAATTTTAACGGCTTACAATTATCAAATGCGGAAACACCTAAACTAATTGAAATATTTTAATTTTTATTTAATTTATCAATGAAAATTATAAGATTACTTTTTTCTATACTGACGTGAAAATTTCAATATATTATTCTGTTGTATATAAACACACAGAGATAATTTTTTTAAACAATAAATATTCTAACGATAAGTTATGACTTGTAATCAATAAATTAAATTTTTAACTTCAAGGCATAAGGAGTTTATTGAATTTAAAATCTAAAAGTGTTTTATATAGTAGACGAATAATAATGAATCGGCTTAACCGGATTTAGGTCAGTGTTACATTCGTTTACAAACAATTAATGAGCTATGATATAATTATTCATTACTTCAAATTAACAGTAATTATAAAATGATGAATTATGTCTTCGTATGAAATTAGAAAATTACTCACGTTATTTTGCTTTATTTTTGATTAATAAAAAACTACGTTACTTTATCTTGAGATCAATGAATTTTGGAGTTTAAAAAAGTAGAATAAATCGTAGACTGTACGAAAGAAAAATAGTTTTTACGTTATTTTATTACCATCTATTAACAATAATATTTTACGCTGCAGTTGACAGATGTTTGCATATTCTTAAATTATTATTTTAAGAATGAGCAACGTAAGCATAAATTTACCAATCCAAAAAATACATTGAAGCGCATGCGTTTCAAGTGAAAAAATAAAATTGGGGGTCATCTGAGTGATCCGAACGGAAATGTAGCCAATGTAATAATTGTAAAGGAATTCAAAAAGTAACTTGCTCTCTAACAAGTTATATACATTTAATACTTCATACATAACACTTAATGTATGTCAAATAATAGTAAATTCTATATAATAAAATACACACATTAAAACATTTAAATATCATATTTATGAAAAAAATTAAACTGTAACCCATGAAACATTACAAAAGAACGACAATTGATCTGTCTTCCAAGTCTTCTAAGTTATAAGTAAGAAATTAGTTGTCGGTAAGGTAAATTTTTTTAGATA